TGTTCAATTGGATATAATATGTAAGCCTTCAGGCAGATAATTGTTCAATTGGATATAATCCTTAAGCCTCCTAGAAGATTATTGTTTAATGGGATTTTAACATTTAAGCCTCCTGGCAGATAATTGTTTAATTGGATATAAACCTTTAAGCCTCCTGGCAGATAATTGTTCAATTTGATATAAAACCTTAAGCCTCCTGGCAGATAATTGTTCAATTGGATATAAACCTTTAAGCCTCCTGGTAGATAGTTGTTTAATTGGTTATAAACCTTAAGCCTCTTGGCAGATAGTTGTTAAATTGAATATAAATCTTAGGCGTGTTGGCAGATTATTGTTCAATTTGATATAAACCTTAAGTCTCCTGGCAGATAATAGTATAATCGATATAAACCTTAAGCCTTCTGGCAGATAATTGTTCAGTTGGTTATAAACCTTTAGTCTCCTGGCAGATAATTGTTCAATTAGATATAAACCTTAAGCCTCCTGGCAAATAATTGCTAAATTGGTTATAAACCTTCAGCCTCCTGGCAGATAATTGTTCAATTGGATATAAACCTTAAGCCTACTGGCAGATATTTGTTCAATTGGATATAAACCTTTAAGCCTCCTGGCAGATAGATTTTAAATTGGTTATAAACCTTAAGGCTCCTGGCAGATAATTGTTCAATAGGATAGAAAGCTTAAGCCCTCTGGCAGATAATTGTTCAATTGGATATAAACCTAAGGCCTCCTGGCAGATAATTGTTAAATTAGATATAAACCTTAAGGCTCCTGGTAGATAATTGTTCAATAGGATAGAAAGCTTAAGCCCTCAGGCAGATAATTGTTCAATTGGATATAAACCTTAAGGCTCCTGGCAGATAATTGTTCAATTGGATATAAACCTTTAAGCCTCCTGACAGATAATTGTCCAATTGGATATTAACGTTATGCCTCCTGGCAGACAGTTGTTAAATTGGATATAAATTTTTATCCTTCTAGCAGATTATTGTTCAATTGGATATAAACCTTAAGCCTCTTGGCAGATAATTATACAATTCGATATAAACCTTAAGCCTTCTGGCAGATAGTTGTTCAGTTGGATATAAATGTGAAATCTCCTTGGGATATAATCTGTAAGCCTTCTGGCAGATAATTGTTCAATTTGATATAAACCTTTTAGCCTCTTTCAGACTGGATATAATTTTTAAGCCTCCTGGCAGACAGTTGTTAAATTGGATATAAATCTTAAGCCTCCTGGCAGATAGTTGTTAAATTGGATATAAACCTTAAGCCTCCTTGTAGATAGTTGTTCAATTAGATATTAACCTTAACCTCTTGGCAGATAATTGTTCAATTGGATATAAACCTTAAGCCTCCTGGCAGATAATTGTTCAATTGGATATCATCTGTAAGCCTTCTGGCAGATAATTGTTCAATTGGATATAAACCTTAAGCCTCCTGGGAGATAATTGTTCAATTTGATATAATATGTAAGTCTTCTGGCAGATAATTGTTCAATTGGATATAAACTTTAAGCCTCCTGGCAGATAAATGTTCCATTGGATATAAACATTTAAGCCTCCTGGCAGATAGTTATTAAATTGGATATAAACCTTAAGCCTCCTGGCAGATAATTGTTCAATTGGATATAAACCATAAGCCTTCTGTCAGATAATTGTTCTATTGGATATAAACCTTAAGGCTCCTGGCAGATAATTGTTTAATTGGATATAAAGCTTAAGCCTTCTGGCAGATAATTGTTCAATTGGATATAAACCTTTAGCCTCCTGGCAGATAATTTTTCAATTGGATATAAACCTTTAAGCTTCCTGGCAGATAATTGTTCAATTTGATATAATCTGTAAGCCTTCTGGCACATAATTGTTCAATTGGATATAAACCTTTAAGCCTCCTGGCCGATAATTGTTCAATTGGATATAAACTGTAAGCCTCCTGGTACGTAGTTTTTCAATTAGTGATAAACCTTAAGCCTCCTGGCATATAGTTGTTCGATTGGATATAAATCATAAGCCTTCTGGCAGATTTTTGTTCAGTTGGATATAAACCTTAAGCCTTCTGGCAGATAATAGTACAATTCGATATAAACCTTAAGCCTTCTGGCAGATAGTTGTTCAGTTGGATATAAACCTTAAGTCTCCTAGCACAAAATTGTTCAATAAGATATGAACCTTTAGCCTCTTAGCAGATAATTGTAAAATTCGATATAAACTTTAAGCCTCCAGGCAGATAATTGTTCAATTGGATATAATCTGTGAGCCTTCTGGCAAATAATTGTTCAGTTGGATATAAACCTTTAAGCCTCCTGGTAGATTATTGTTCAATTGGATATAAACTTTATGCCTCCTGGCAGACAGTTTTTAAATTGGATATCAATCTTAAGCCTCCTGGCAGATAGTTGTTAATTTGGAAATAAACCTTAAGCCTCCTGGCAGATAATTGTTCAATTGGATGTAAACTTTAAGCCTCCCGGCCAATAATTGTAAAATTGGATATAATCTGTAAGCCTCCTGACAGATAATTGTTCAATTGGATATAAACCCTTAGCCTCCTGGTAGATTGTTGTTCAATTGGATATAAATCTTAAGCTTTCTGGCAGATAATTGTTCAATTGGATATAAACCTTAAAGCCTCCTCGCAGATAATTGTTCAATTAGATATAATCTGTAAGCCTTCTGGCAGATAATTGTTCAATTGGATATAAAACTTTAAGCCTCCTGGCAGATAATTGTTCAATTGGATATAAACTGTAAGACTCCTGGTAGATAGTTGTTCAATTGGTTATAAACCTTAAGCCTCCTGGCATAAAGTTGTTAAATTGGATATAAATCTTAAGCCTTCTGGCAGATTATTGTTCAATTGGATATAAACCTTAAGCCTCCTGGCAGATAATAGTACAATTCGATATAAACCTTAAGCCTTCTGGCAGATAGTTGTTCAATTGGATATAAACCTTAAGCCTCCTGGCAGATAATTTGTTTAATTGCATATAATCTGTAAGCCTTTTGGCAGATAATTGTTCAATTGGATATAAACCTTTTAGCCTCCTTCCAGAGAATTGTTCAATTGAATATAATTTTAAGCCTCCTGGCAGACAGTTGTTAAATTGGATATTAATCTTAAGCCTCCTGGCAGATAGTTGTTTAATTGGATATTTACCTTAGCCTCCTGGGAGATTATTGTTCAATTGGATATAAACTTTAAACCTCCTGGCAGACATTTTTAAATTGGATATAAGTCTTAAGCCTCCTGGCAGATAGTTGTTAATTTGGATATAAACCTTAAGCCTCCTGGCAGATAATTGTTCAATTTGATATAAACTTTAAGCCTCCTGGCCAATAATTGTAAAATTGGATATAATCTGTAAGCCTCCTGACAGATAATTGTTCAATTGGATATAAACCCTTAGCCTCCTGGTAGATTGTTGTTCAATTGGATATAAATCTTAAGCTTTCTGGCAGATAATTGTTCAATTGGATATAAACCTTTAAGCCTCCTCGCAGATAATTTTTCAATTAGTTATAATCTGTAAGCCTTCTGGCAGATAATTGTTCAATTGGATATAAACTGTAAGCCTCCTGGCAGATAATTGTTCAATTGGATATAAACTGTAAGACTCCTGACATAAAGTTGTTATATTGGATATAAATCTTAAGCCTTCTGGCAGATTATTGTTCAATTGGATATAAACCTTAAGCCGCCTGGGAGATAATAGTACAATTCGATATAAATCTTAAGCCTTCTGGCAGATAGTTATTCAGTTGGATATAAACTTTAAATCTCCTAGCACATAATTGTTCAATTAGATATAAACCTTTAAGCCACTTGGCAGATAATTGTTCAATTGGATATAAACCTTAAGCCTTCTGGCAGATAATTGTTCAATTTGATATAATCTGTAAGCCTTCTGGCAGATAATTGTTCAGTTGGATATAAACCTTTTAGCCTTCTGGCAGATAATTGTTCAATTGGATATAAACTTTACGCCTCCAGGCAGACATTTGTAAAATTGGATATAAACCTTAAGCCTTCTGGAAGATAATTGTTCATTTTAATATAATCTGTACGTCTTCTGGCAATTAATTGTTCAATTGGATATAAACCTTAAGCCTCCTAGCAGATAATTGTTCAATTGGATATAAACTTTTAAGCCTTCTGGCAGATAATTGTTCAATCAGATATTAACCTTTACTTCCTGGCAGATAATTGTTCAATTAGATATAAAGTTTTATCCTCCTGGCAGATAATTGTTCAATTGGATATAATCTGTAAGCCTTCTGGCAGATAATGGTTCAATTCGATATGATCCTTTAGCCTTCTGGCAGATAATTGTTCAGTTGGATATAGACCTTACCTTTAAGCCTCCTGGCAGATAATTGTTTTACTGGTTTTAAACCTTAAGCCTTCTGGCAGATAATTGTTCAATAGGATATAAACCTTAAGCCTCCTGGCAGATAATTGTACAATTGGATATAATCTGTAAGCCTTCTAACAGATAATTGTTCAATTGGATATAAACCTTAAGTCTCCTGGCAGATAATTGTTCAATTGGATATAAACCTTAAGCCTTCTTGCAGATAATTTTACAATTGGATATAAACCTTTAAGCCTGCTGGCAGATAATTGTTCAATTTGATATATACCTTAAGACTTCTGGCAGATAATTATTCAATTGGATATAAACTTTTAAGCCTCCTGGCAGATAATTGTTCACCTAAGTGACCAGTGTGGACAAAAATCAGCCTTCATATCCATGCCTTGTGGTCATTGTCTGCACTGTTTGTTATACCACTAGCCAGTACATAGAGTATTTTGAAATTTTCCCTGAAAGATGGATAATCCTGTTTAAGATATTAAGCATGTAAGTGTGAATTAGATAAATGACAGGTATACTTTGGTTCTGCTTGATTCCATAAGGCATTCATTTTTTTTAATGATATCGGAAAAATTAAAATAAATCTTTAAACTAAAAATTATTCAAAATTGTCATTTTTCTAAAGGCTTTGCTGTGACGGGCGGAAAGTTTGACAACACCGGAAGGACTTACTACGTGGCCGGTGCACCGAGGAGTCAAAACACGGGTCAGGTTATCTTGTTCACAGAAATGCGGAGCGGAAATATTCTGAGATATGAAGACTCAAAGATACTGTCGGGAGATTTACCTTTCTCCGGATATGGGCAAGACCTGATAGCCTTAGATATAAACAATGATGGGTATGGCATGAGTTTGAATAACGGTTTAAAGGGATTCCACTGAGGTTCAAATTCTTCAAACAATAAAAATTTGACTAAAGATCAGCTGGGGCCATCAAACAGAAAGATTCAAATACAAAAATCAAGAAATATAGATCTGCTTCAAAATAGATTGAAAATCACATTTTTGTGCTACTCTTAGCCCAATTTGAATGAAAAGCATTACTTGGCTTTTCAAGTTTTGGTCATTTTTTCACTATTAGAAACAATTATTTTGGAAAAACGGAGTGAGTGAATGATCTGAAATTTTTACGCAAGCTATTGGTCTCGAAAAATTATGTCCAGTCCCGTCGTGTCAAAAAACTTGTGGAGTCTCTTTAAAAAAAAATTTAAGTCATTTTTTTTGTATTTTCTGACAACAGCACATCCCGACAATCCAAATAACAAAAAGTAGTTCTCAAAGCAGCTTAAAACTAGCGATGTAAAAGAAAGAAATATTCTTATTTTATTTTAAGTATCCAGCTAATTATAACACATTCAAAGTTTAAAAGTGGCGTCGCGTTATAGAATTGTCAATAAATACGCAATCAAAAATTACGCCGGTGAATATCATGTTAATCAATGAAAAATGCTCGGCTATTTCCGTAAAGTCCGGATTATTGTGATCGGAATTAAGAATATTTGTTATTTAGACTTTCTGAAAAATAAAGTAAGGATGTTGACTGTAGGACATAGAAGAATTTAGTCACTCGATAATTTAATTCACGTAAACAAAGCGCTATTTTTAGAGATGTTGATTATCGCCACACTTCAGCGCGTATTACACAAATAAATCTGATAGTTATTGCCCTTTGTTACTTTTTTGTCTAGTGCATCACTTGAAAACTAATAGTTGGAATTCAATACAACTTCTAACAATGGTCAAGTGCAGTGAGTTCAAGTGTAATGTGCAAGAACCATAACTCTATTTGGACTGATTACACAGTTATTGCCCTTTGGTACTTGTTTTGTGTCCAGTGCATAACTTGAAAACTAGTGGTTAGAATTCAATACATCTTTATACAATGGTCAAGCGCAATGAGAGGAAGTGCAGTATACAACTAACTGTTTTGGTGTGAAAAGTTATAAGGCATATTTTCAGTAAAGTTTATTTAAGTAATTGAAAATTTAGGACACTATTATAAAGACACATATGCCAGTCTTTTTGACACTAAAGAAGATTATTTCACTTTTAGAAATCTTGAATGGTTCTTACCAACACTTTTTGATTAGGTGCTATTTTATTAATTTTACTTTATAGCTTACAGCAATTCATGCTATGAGGAAATTATGTAACATACAGGATATGTTTTATATCTTTTTCTTAAGATATTTTATACAGATTAAGCATCATGCATTACTTGGGTAATGTTTTTATGCCCCCACAATGTGGGAGCATATAGCGTTGCACTTGTCCGTCCGTCCGTCCGTCAGTCCGTCCGTCAGTCCGTCCGTCAGTCAGTCCGTCCGTACGTCCCGAAATCTTGTGAACGCAACTCCTCTTAAACCGGATGGCAGATTTTGCTTAAACTTACAGGGATGAACAACCTTAATGTGTAGATGGTAGTAAAGGAAGGAATTTTTGCTGCGACCAAATTTAACAGAATTATGGCCCTTTGTTGATTTTTTCACTAGATAACTATGTAGAAATTTTGTGAACGCAACTCCTCTTAAACCGGATGGCAGATTTTGCTTAAACTTACAGGGATGAACAAACTTAATGTGTAGATGGTAGTAAAGGAAGGAATTTTCGCTGCGACCAAATTTTACAGAATTATGGCCCTTTGTTGATTTTTTCACTAGATACTATGTAGAAATTTTGTGATCGCAACTCCTCTTAAACCGGATGGCAGATTTTGCTTAAACTTACAGGGATGAACAACCTTAATGTGTAGATGGCAGTAAAGGAAGGAATTTTCGCTGCGACCAAATTTTACAGAATTATGGCCCTTTGTTGATTTTTTCACTATATACTATGTAGAAATTTTGTGAACGCAACTCCTCTTAAACCGGATGGCAGATTTTGCTTAAACTTCCAGGGATTAACAACCTTAATGTGTAGATGGTAGTAAAGGAAGGATATTTTGCTGCGACCAAATTTAACAGAATTATGGCCGTTTGTTGATTTTTAGTTTTCAACTTGTGGCACATGTAGTCCAAAAAATATTTGACCTAGAGTCATAAGATTGACAGAACAGTGGCGTGTGGGGGCATCAGTGTCCTATGGACACATTTCTAGTTTTTATTTTCATTGGTCAATGTTTTTCAATTTACATTAGTTAATCAATTAATAAACTTGAGAATTTTATATATAGAGAAAGACAAAAATAAGTTAAGACAGAATTTGTAGGATTATTAGGTTGAGGATAAGAATAAGAATAAGAACTATTAATGTGAAAGTGTGTTGAAAGAATCTTAAAACATTTTGATAACTTAATATATGATAATAAAAGGAACTATTAACAACTTTGCATGAGAAACTTGAAAGGGATATTGTGATATTAAACATTGACATTTCTAAATGAATAAATGTAATTAGTGATTGGGAACATCTGAGTATATCTTCATTTCCTCAAAGTTTTTTGCTATCATACTCTACCTTCTAATAGAAGAGTAAACTACATGACCGACTGCTTTGGGTGGACACTTCATATTTGTATCGGAACTCAACATAGACCTCGGCTTATTCCCCACAGCTTAAAACAACCGGTATTGCATAGCTCTACCGGAAGTCTAGGTCCCCGTACAGTGTTGCTGTTATTAGTTGAGAAGTTGTGTGGCGCAGAAAGCGCTGCCACAGCCCAAGTGTAGCAACAGCTCTTGCCCCTGGGCAGTCCCCGGTCGCACAAGGTATTTTGTTATAAGTAACTTTGTCATTTGTGAAGTAGTCTTGCCGGGGTATTAATCACATTGATTTAGGCCTAATTTCTTCCCATACAAAACATGACCTGATGGCTATCAAATTTTCATTTGTAATGACACTTAGGTGTAAGTTTATTTTTTAAGATTTTATCAATTACTTTAAATTATCTTACTTTCATCTCATTTTGATATTTCATTTGTAAGGTTTACATAAGAAATTCTGGCTGTTTAATTCTTCATTAACATATCATTTGGAGGGGCTTATGAAATTCCCTACTACGGATATGAATTTTACACTTGATTCAGATAAATAAAATGTCATTTAAATCATGGCCGTGAAGTACGCAGAGTAACGGGCTAGCGGTGTGGCGGGATGGCAGTGTGAACTGGGCGGGCTAGCAGTCTAGCGGGCTAGCAGTCTAGCGGGCTATCAGTGTGAACTGAGCGGGATAGCAGTCTAGCGGGATAACAGTGTGAAGTTGACGGGATAGCGGTCCAGAGGGATAAACTTTAATAATTAATTGAATCCACATTAAAACCTCATGATACATTTCTTAGCAGTGTGAAACAAGCGGACAGACAGTGTAGCGGGCTAGCAGTGTGAACAGAGCGTGCTGGCGGGCCAGCGGGTTAAACTTAAATACTTAATTCAATCAACATGAAAACGCTATGATACATTTCCTAGCAGTGTGAATTGGGCGGGCTAACAGTGTAGCAAGATAGAAGTGTGACCTTGGCAGGCTGCCGGGCCAGCGGGATAAACTTTAATACTTAATTTTATGAACATGAAAACCTTATGACACATTTCTTAGAAGTCAGAACTGGGAGGGCTGGCGGGTTCATGATTCATTAACTGAAGGCGGCGTTTTATTCATCATGGCAAAGAAACAGGCACAGTGATGGATTTACAAAATGATTAAAAGTAAAACCTTTGTACTCGAGCCAACCTGTGCTTAACTGGCTAATATACTGGACTCTCAGTCCAAGGGCCATGATTTTAAGCCCGCCCACCACTTCACACTGCTAGGAAATCTATCACGAGGTTTTAATGTTGATTCAATTAAGTATCAAAGTTTATCCCGCTGTCCCGCCAGCCCGCCCAGTTCACACTGCTAGCCCGCTACACTATCAGCCCGCCCTCTTCACACTGCCAGGTAATGTATCATAACGTTTTCATGTTCAATTGTAGTTATGTTTTTGTTTAGCCCGCTGGCTCTCCAGCCCGCCCAGTTCACACTGCTAGCCCGCTACACTGTTAGCCTGCCCACTTCATACTGCTAGGATATGTATCATAACGTTTTCATGTTGAATCAGTTAAGTTTAAGAGTTTAGCCCGCTGGCCCGCCAGCCCGCCAAGTTAACACTGCTAGACAGCTTGACTGTTAGCCCGCGCAGTTCACACTGTTAGCCCGCTTGACTGCTAGCCCGCGCAGTTCACACTGTTAGCCCGCTAGACTGCTAGCCCGCCCAGTTCACACTGCCAGCCCGCCACACCGCTAGCCCATTACCCCGCGTATTTCACGGCCATATTTTAATCAGTATCCAAAATACTCAACATCTGATATGTATTTGATATGTATAAATATTATTATTATTGAAGAATATTATATCAATATTGAACAGATATGATGATTTGGTAGTAGGATGTCCATTTTACTACGAGAAAGAAAAGGACAGAATGGGCGGAGCCGTGTATGTTTACATAGGAAATGGAGACATGGTAAGTAACATATTTTGCATTTTTGCAGCCATTCTTTGGCGTTTATTTCATCATGTCAGGGCTAGAATTTAGCACTAACAAGATAACAAAATGCGAATCAAAAGTAGAAAAATGCCAGTATTTTTTTACACGCTCAAACTTTTGTTTGCTAGTGTAGCAGATAGTTAGTGAACATAAATTGATATAACTTTGTAAAAAGAAATTAAATTTTAGCAAGAATGTCATCTCCGACAGCAATTCATGCGAAATAACAATTGCTCAATAAATAAAGATACAGGCATAAGCATCATTTAGCACATTGGTTAATACTATTTCGAAAAAAAATGCAAGTTACGTTTCGTTTTTGCCAGGACAAATTTCTTAAACTCGATATTAGAATTTAAAGACTCATTATTCGCTATGGGTTTGGTGCAGCATGTTAACTTTGGCATACAAGTTTTTGGCAATACTCTTGACGTTGTTATCACGGAAGCAGTCAATGGGGTTGAAATTGTGGCATGTGAACCTGGTGATTATGTGTCTGATCATCGAGCAATAAAATGTGTTACAAATGTTCAAAAAGAAAACATAATCAGTAAGTCAGTCAAATTTAGAAACTTTAAAAATATGGACGAGTCATCTGTTAGAAAAGAATTCAGTGAAATTACAATAGATCAGAGTGATATTAATCTATACGTGAATGAGTTTGAAAATAAAATAAAGAACGTTCTGGACACTCATGCACATGAAAAAGAGATAACAAAAGAAATTAGAGCTCCTAAACCATGGTTCACTCCCGAAATTCTCACCCTTAAAACATCGACTCGGAAAGATGAAAAAATATGGAGAAAATATCGTCAACCACAACAATATGAATCATTCAAAAAAGCTCGGAACCAGTACAATGGTGAACTCGAAAAAGAGAAAACAAAAGTAATAAGTGAAAAAGTAACTAATACAAAGGGTGATTCCAAGAAGCTGTACCAGTTAGTGTCTGAGTTAACAGGAACTAAATCAGAAAACCCAATGCCACCTGGGTACAGTGATAGTGAGCTCTCCGAACACTTTGCCTCATTTTTCTTGAATAAAATAGAGAAAATACGTGATGACCTGAAACCATTTGATAAATTGGAGCCAAATACTAGAAACGTTCCATCTCTTTTTGCCTTTGATGAATTTTCAAATGATAATGTTAAAGAGCTGATAAATGAACTACAGACAAAATCTTGTGAATTAGACATATTACCAACAGCAATATTTAAACTATTCCTTGGAGAACTACTCTCAATTATAACAAAACTAGTAAACTTATCACTACAGCAAGGAATATTTCCAAATAAATGGAAAGAGGCTATCGTGAGACCACTTTTGAAGAAAATTGGACTTGAACTTGTATTCTCAACTTATAGACCTGTGAGTAATCTGTCGTTTTTATCAAAACTGATTGAAAAAGAAGCTCTGAAAATACTAAATAAACATGCTGATCAGTATGACTTACTACCTACAAACCAATCCACCTACAGAAAATACCAATCCTGTGAATCTGCTCTACTGCGATTAGTTAATGATCTGTTGGCAGCCATGGAAAAACAAGAAGTTACAGCGCTAATCGCGATTGATCTCAGTGCCGCGTTCGACACTGTGGATCATGATATACTCGTCGACGTGCGACAGAAGCAGTACGGCGTGAGCGGTTCAGTGCTCAGCTGGCTTGATTCATACCTTCGTCCGAGGGGCTGTCGCGTGTGTGTCAACTCGGCGGTCTCAGCTCCACGGCAACTATAGTGCAGTGTCCCCCAGGGTAGTTGTTTAGGGCCTTGGCTCTACCTAACGTATGCGGGAACCTTGTTTGACGTGATTCCATCTGGATTATAGGTGTATGGATTCGCTGTTGACCATACTGCAACCAAACGTTATAAACCGACTGAAGAAAATAGTGAAATTTCTGCAATCGCTGAATTAGAAAATGGTGCAATTGATATCAACAACTGGATGAATGCTAATAAACTCAAGATGAACTCATCGAAAACAGAATTCATAACATTTGGAAGTTCTCAACAGCTCGAAAAGTGTCACCTAAAATCTATTTGCATTAACGGAGATAAGATCAACTCCGAGGAGTCCATTAGATATTTAGGCGCATTTCTAGACCAAACACTAAATTTCAAGGAACATGTCAATGGAAAGTGCCGTACTGCAATGTTAAACTATCTTAGAATAAAACGTATTCGAAAATACCTCACCAAAGAAGCAGCTGAAATACTAGTTATAGCACTCGTAATGTCACACTTGGATTATTGCAATGTCATTCTTTATGGTGTATCCGATTTTGAATTGAAAAAAATGCAACGTATTCAAAACATGTGCGCTAAGGTAGTTCTGCAACGAAAGAAATTTGACAGTTCAAGACAAGCATTGTTCGACCTTCACTGGCTGCCCATCAAATCTAGAATCGAATATAAAATTTTGACTTTTTTATACAATGGTTCAATCGGTCATGCTCCAAAATACCTTTCTGAACTCCTAACCAAACAAGTACCGATACCCGACTACGTTCAGCTAAAACCTCTGAGAACTGCTACGTTATTCCATTCAATAAAAGAAAAACATTTAGTGACAGAAGTTTTGGAACTATTGGTCCAAAATTGCGAAATCCGCTGCCATTAGAGTTGAAACAATCTAAGAATATTGATGTATTTAAGAGAAATCTTAAAACACATTTTTTCAGAAAGTTTGAATCACTATTTTAAAATCTTAAATGAGAAAAACATGAGTAACGTATAACTGATGACTGACATTTTGATAAATGTGCAATGTTAATGAATGTTTTATCCTTTTTAATCTATTTGTAATCAAGTTACATGTATGTAAATAATCTTATCTCATGCTACATGTATATCAATCAGTTTTATCATTGTATGGTCTCTGCAATTTTTTTAGAAATATGTTAATTGGAATTGTATGTAAAAGCTTTTATTTCATTTGATGTTGATCCACATATTCTTATGCATTCACAGTTTTATTCTTGTTGTTTATATGTACTGTACAACGCAGTTGAATATTGTTAAATAGAAACAGGCGTTTAATTAAATAAAAAGTTTCAAGTTTCAAGATAAAATATGCAAGTGGAAAAAATGTTAATTCTCACCTTGATCATGTAGGGAGTTGCTTCATAATTGTCAGTTTTTCTTGCATTTTAACCCTTACCACTGTACAAATCTCAAATGGACTTGTCCATCTTTACATCGGGACTAGACCATTCATCATTATTTCAAACTGACTAACTTAATGACTAAATATCTAAAATGGAGTTGTCCATCTTTCCTTTAGGACTATACCATTCATCATTTTGAAGGGAATATTTCAAACTGACTGACTTAATGACTATCGGATAGCACACCTACACCTATATCCTCAAAAATGAGTTTATCCATAATTTCCCAAACTGATACATTCTAATAGAAAAAATTATGCGGACATATCAAATTCTTCAGTTAAACACCATGATATTTTTTTACCAGAAAGGTGTAATACCCTTTTAATGTGAGATATTGACTATTTCCAGATTGCTAAGAAGTTCAGGCTGCAAATTTGTCATCAAAAAAACTTACCGTGTTTCAAAATTACAAAATACCCTTACAATGTGACACATTCACCATTTCCCGGTTATCAGTTTATTCCAGGTCAGGCCGCATATTTTTCATTGGAAAATGTATCAGATTTGAATGTAGTTTAGTACCCTTACAATATGACATATTGACTGATTTCAGATTACCAGTTTAACTAAGAAGCAGGTTATTAAAGGGCGCAGTATGAGTCAGGAAGAGTGTGATTCCTTGCTGTGTTTACATGCTAGATTTGGATTCAGTTTAGCAACTGCTGGTGATCTAAATAGAGACAATTTTGGAGGTAAACATTTTATATCAGACCATGTGTGTATATTCAAATAAATCTTGATGTAAACTTTTGACTGGTTTAAATACCAGTAACAAGTAACACTGAGTCCAATCTGATTAAAATTAGCTCCTAAATAAGGTTAGGCATTAGGATCTGACATCCAGCCATAGGAAGTCATCTCATGGTCTTTCAAACAACCAATCATTGGCGAGCTTTCATTATTTTGAAAGTGATGCAGTGTGTTATTTTAACCCGTTGAAAACCAATACTTTGTAGTAAATTTTCACGATTTCGTAAACATACATGGCTTTGTCCATATAGCCAACAGATTTTCTGGCAAAACAATCTGACCCTTTAAAATTGCCTTTATTATTTCAAGATAATTTATTAAAAATGACTTCAAATATCATTTTTCTAAAGAAAATTCAACAATTTGTTTAACTTAGTATTTTGATACTTCTTCTAAAACCTGACTGAAAAAAACCCGGCTTGATTGCATGACTAAAAATAGGTTTCTCGGGAAATCCGAATTATCAAGAAGGTGATGCATATACGGTGGTCATCAGATCTACACAGACGAAATAAGTAGATCTGAACTTAAGTCATATTGCACAGAGCCATAACAAGAAATACTCAGGATTAACAGTATCAGAAAGTTTTTTAAGAAATTTACACACACTGTAGTGATTAAGGTCTCTTGAGTAATAATTGGTTTAACCAAATCTCTTGAGGTAAACATTACTGCTCCAGACATTTGGTTGACTTCTAAAATGTCTTTAGTCATACTCTATTTTCCTACACACTTGCCTGAAGCACATGCTTAATATCTTGAGGTACCACGGAGACTTGCACCACATTGAAGCCGTCTATTTAACTCAAAGGGTTGAGGGTTTGACTGTAAATCTGGCGACTTGAGTTCAATTCCCGGAACGTGCATGCCGCTTTTGTTTTGATTGATCATTGAATCTTTTCTACCGTCATTCGCACTTTATCTCTGCTCTTGCATGTAAAGATGTTTCAGTTCCTTGAAAAAGTGAAGGCAACTAGAACTGGTAAACTTCTTGAAAGCCTGGCTCTTGCGGCTTATCGAACATTCAATATTTTATTGTAAATTTGTAAAAATACATAACTGCCTTGATACTGAAAATTTGAGTTTATAAGATTATAATGTATGTTTACAGTAGTAAAACGTTAAGAATTTAAGAAAATAGATTTTTATTGAACATTTTTGTCTATCTTTTAATTAGATTTTGCTGTGGGTGCTCCATATGAAGGGCAAGGTGCTGTATATATATTCCATGGATCTGCTGATGGGGTCAAGGAAGCTTATTCTCAGGTACAATTTAAAAGTGACAATTGCTTTTGGCCTTAATTTGGCTTTTAAGATATCAATAAAAGTGTAACATATACTTGAGTTTTGTAAAAGACATTGCTTTTTTTAATATACAAATGAAATATTGATGGAATAAAATGCATGTTTCATTGCTCATATTTTTCTTTTTTCATTGGAGTGAAGTATATTTTCGTATTGTCATTAGTGTCTTCCAAGACTACCATTTTTTATACATTTAGACAATACATAAAATGTTAAATTTCAAATTGAAATGTCAAAAAGGAGAAAATTGGATATAATATTTTGAAACAGAAAACTTTCTATTAACACAGGATTTATATTCACCTTTTGATATTAAAATTATCATATTTCACTTGTGGCTCTTATGAAATATTTATTTTCTTACCACTCGAAAATAATTCCTGTATCTTTTTAAAAAACTTGAATATCCTCTATGTATTAAATGTAATTAAAGCCATATTATAGATGATAAATGTTATTTTGTTTTACCCAGATGCACTGTCTGAGCATTAAATGATGCGGGACACGGTACTTATTATTTCCTCTGTAATTAAAAGTTTGAAAATTTCCAAAAAGTGATTGTGTCTTTTGTTTTTTAAAACCAATTTGGGTTTATTGATATTTATTTTCTCTCTACACAAGGGACAGGACGTGAAGTGGATGCACACCCGTAAATGTCAACGCCACTTAAAACACTTTAAAAGCTAGTGAAAAAACACAATTGCATTTATAAATTTTTCAAGGAATATCTGTGACTAATCAATATGATTTTCGCTGAATCCTTTCGCAGTTAAATATTTGACTGAAACAAATAAGGTTGCAACCATAAATGCGTGAACTACAAGTTTGCAACTAAAATGCGCTTGAACAAGATATTTTCGTGTATTGAAAATTTATTTGGAACATGCAAATTCAAACACTTACTCAGTATGAAAAATACATATTTTGTCTGGTGAGGTGAACTTTAACACTTACAGATGCGAATAAATGAGCATATATAAATCACCATGGACTGTCACTTGTCAAATCTCAAAATATGTACATAACCAGTTTATATCTTCAATAACTTCGTAAAATGAAGTTTATAAGCTGAGACCTTAAACTGAGTTTGCCATTATCATTGTCCTAAGGGATAATCATATTAGAAAATCTAAAATAGCATACAAATCCACTTACCTGAAGAAAATACGCGCGGGTGTTGATAATATTCGTGACGATTCCGTAGCCATTTTGTCAAGTTTGCAACCAATTTTCTCGCTTGAATTAAGTGTGCAATCACTTCACATCCGGCCCCTTGCTATATATTTCAGAGAATCTATGCTGGTGATTTGTCAGACACTACAGGATGGAATACATTTGGTTATTCTCTGTCTGGAGGCATGGATCTTGACAATAATGACTACCCTGATCTCCTTGTAGGCAGCTACATACAAAATAAGGTTAGTCAAAAGTTTACAGAGACTATTACCTCCCTTTTTGAGACACGGTAATTGTTACTTCCCTTTGATTACTAAGGTGTAGTTATAAAGGTTATTCTGTTTTAAGATCAAGTTCCACATGGGATATTTGGAATCTTTCAAGTGAGGAAGCTGATAAATAGCTAGGTTTTGCAAAGTTCTGATTGGGTGCTAGCTAGTGTCTGCAATGATAAAGAGAGGGCTTAGTCATCAATTGAGCTAATAAATCGTATGTTTTTACTTCGGTACAGGTGGCTTTATTGAGAACAAGACCTATAATCATTCTCCACTCGAAAGTTAATGTGAGCCCAAACAAGCTTAACATGAGCACCGATGAGCAGAAAACATGTGAACATGACGGCAAAATGGTGTATTGCGTAGAGGTGAAACTGTGTCTCCGTTATACGGCTGAACCTGTGGAGAAGTAAAACATTTTTGGATTATATTTTAGTCTGTCTTCTTGAATTGATAGAGAGAACATAAGATATGTACAATGTACTTCATGGGTCACTAATTTGATCCTCAGGCATGGCAAAGTTTCTCTTTGACATTAGACTTACTCAAGAACACAGACTATTTAGAGTTTTCTCCAGCTAAACCGGAGGTACAAACAAACTTTTACAATTACAGCTTCGAAAATAAAAGCAATATGTAGACTAGTCTATTGTTACCGGAAGCCAATCATGGAACTTATCATAATGGTAAACATTTGTTTGTACCGGGGAATTAGCATAAAAAACCACATTTGCAGAGTTCCGGATAACATCTATTGATCCAAAACACAGAGTCTTATTGTTTTTTGTCTCTCAGCCGCGATTCAGAAATCATGTGAGATAATATGTCAGTCACTTTTGGAAAAAAATGGTCAGTATTGGCTGGATATCTTGGAAAGTCATTGAGTCGAAATGACCATTGAAATATGATAAAAAATATGTAAACATCAGAGAAAAAAACAAACAAACATGGATCAAAATAAGCTGATAAAATATTTGTTGCCTGTTCAAATAATAATTTATACGTCATATTGACTGCACAGGCCTGCTTTATTTTGACAAATTTAAATAACAAAAAGACTATCCCCAGCTAACAATAATAATATTACCAAAGTTGTCAAATCATTTTGTGCTTAAAAAGAAGCAGGTGTTCCTATTTTTCGCAACATATTTAAGAAACAGTTTCATGGGGGAAATAATACCGACTTGAACCTTCAGAAACTCTGCAGTAATTCATATTTAAATGAAGAACCTTCTTTGCAATGTGGTTTAAGATCTTATACTGACAACAAATTACCTGTCATCTCTTTAGGTTTATTCCTTCTATGTACAATAAATCTTTAATGTGAAGAAGCTGTAAACATTTAACCTTATAAAACTCAAGGTTATTAACCATTTACCTACTTACAGTCAAGCTGTTTACATTTTACCTTCTGGAACTGAAGCTGTTAACCATTGAACTGCTGGAACTGGAACTGTTAACCATTGACCTGCTGGATCTGAAGCTGTTAACCTTTGACCTGCTGGAACTGAAGCTGTTAACCTTTAACCTGCTGGAACTGAAGCTGTTAACCTTTGACCTGCTGGAACTGAAGCTGTTAACCGTTGACCTGCTGGAACTGAAGCAGTTAACCATTGACCTGCTGGAACTGAAGCTGTTAACCTTTGACCTGCTGGAACTGAAGCAGTTAACCTTTGACCTGCTGGAACTGAAGCAGTTAACCATTGACCTGCTGGAACTGAAGCAGTTAACCATTGACCTGCTGGAACTGAAGCTGTTAACCATTGACCTGCTGGAACTGAAGCAGTTAACCATTTACCTGCTGGAACTGAAGCTGTTAACATTCGTCACCTGTTATTAACCTGCTTGATTGTGGGCTTGTCAAGTGGTCCCTTTTTGGAATGTCTATTTTCAATACTGGCTAATTCAAGATGAAAATCAGTCTTGAGTCTTTTCGGCCTTTACGGACATACAAGCTGACCAGGCTCTCTACGGATTGCAAAGGCTTATCGCTTTTGCTTCATTAGGTCTATGGTTCAACTTTGAAATTCAAAGCAGAGCAAATACTTAAAACAAATTAAAACATAATCAGAGTAAATCTATCTTGCTTTCTTGGTGACAGCTCATGTTTAAAATCAGGCTCAGATGAATATGCATCAAGGGGTTTATGTCTTCTACTGAAAAGTGTAACTAAAATTGCTGTATGACCAGCAAAGAATATTAGTAAAATGACTTCCTTCACATATGTTTCAGATTCGAAGCTTCGGATGATATTTTATACACCATCATAGCTGAACCAGGCAAACTCAGTCCACGAGTCGAGTTTATGAAAGACGGCAATAAGACGCAGGAAGTAAAAGACACGTTTATGCTCTTGCCACAAAGAATTACGGGCCTGTCAGCAGACGATCCTGACGCTATGTTTGCTTGTATTTCTCATACAGCTTATCTCAAGGTTTGTATTCATTGATTTATCGAATCTATTTAACGAAGTGTCTCGAATTCCGACATGGTCTTTGGTTTATTTTATGTGGTGAAACTATCAAGCTAACTTAGTTAATGTTGCTGGTTTTACTCCGTTTTACGTGCCCGTTTTAATTTAAATAATGCATGGAAGGGAACATGAGATCTGCCTCCACCAGTAAAGCTGGAATGTTGCCAAATGACCTGTGTTGGTATGATGTAAAACCCAATTGAACAAACAAAAAACTCAGGAGTGTATAAGGATCCATCATGAAAGTTTATGTTTTACCTTTCAAAGTTTTTGTAGAGCACTTCCATCGGATCTTAGTGAAGAATAGGAGTTAAAAGATGGGTCTGTTCTGGTACCAATTTGATGATAAATGACAATTTTGAACCTTTTTTGAATACTTACAAGGCATTATATTTAGTTGTTCACTCGAAATTATGATATATATAAAGATAGAAACTTCGAAATTGTCACCTTAGTGTAGTAGTGAGATAATTTCTATTAAGTTTTATGGGAGTTTACCCATTACTCCAATAAGGTGACAAATTAGTTACTGTATCTCTTGTGGTGATTACCCCTTACTTTTCTGGAGCCAAAAGTGATTAGCCTTTGCCAGCAATATTGAGCCAGCACAGCGTGTGCATCCATGCAGTCTGACACCAGGCCCTATACTGTTTACTTTCTTAAATTTTATCTTGATACCTACAAAATGATGACTGATATCCCCCCTAAAAAGTTGAAATTTCGCACGTCTATTTTAAATATTCAATCGGTAAAGGATAAACATAATAAACAGTATCTTTTAACATCTGATTTTATTTAATGTTATTATTGAATGTTAAGACAAATTGGAATCTTTTTTATCATGATTTGTTAAATCTAGACTCCAATAATTGATGTTTTGTCGGCCATCGAATTTGGCATAAACTTTGCACTACCAGAGAAAGATCCCCCAGTGGCATCATCTGCAGATGTTCTCCCAGATATCAATGAATTTCCAATACTTGATGCAGGAATAAATTCTGTCGAAAATCAAACGGTTATGACCAAGGTAAGAAGTACTAGTATTATGTTTGTAATGATTAATGTAAAATGTAAGCACAAAACCTACCTGCCAATGTTCATTATGCAATAACATATGATATGAAATAGCCGGAAACCTTTTGATCGGAAAATATCTCTTTATATAATTATGCATGGATGGTTATTTTCTATTAATAATAGGTGGAGTTTCTAAAAAATTGTGGTGTTGACCAAATTTGCAACAGTAATTTACAAATGAAAGTGTCACCAAAACTGAGGAAGTAAGTATTTTACTTATTGTCAGAAGAGTTCATATTCATGGTGATTGCTTATAAAGATATAAAATTATATCTGCTGGATATATGTGTTCAGATAATGAATTTGTAAACAATAAACTGGTTTATCCAGCACGTAAAAATTTGTTTGAGATCACTGACAGGTTGAAAAATCTCATGATATCAATGAGCTATTGAAAAACTAAATTTGTTTATTTGATTTAACGGTATACCAACACAGTTTAGGTCATATGGTGTTGAAACAAAAAGATGATTTTGGCTAACCTTGGGTGTTACAATCTTCAAAGCAACGCCAGGGATCAGAACCATCCCACCTGATGGAGCTTACAGATGCTTAGACTCCAGTTATTCTATCCCATTTAGTCGTCTTTTACGATCACGCAGAGATAAACAGTGGCTGCAATTCTGATGCGGCAACCCCTCTGCCACAAGGGGATTGAATAACTATAATATTTATCATTAATCATTTCCTGCCAGGTCAATGATATAAAGGAAAAATGGTGAAATTATTTTGTGTACATTTAATAAAAACTGTTTAGTTTTTTAATGTTTGTAATTTTTCTAACCATTTATATTATTCATTAGAGATGAAGATGGCAACCTAGTTTTGGAGATTTGGAGATCCGATAGTGTCCGGGTACAAGTGTATATAGAAAACATTGGGGAGATTGCGTACCAGACCGAGTTTTACCTGTCTAAACCAAAGAGTCTTACCTGGCAGCAGTCCGAGCCCGTAAGATTATTAAACATGATATCATTCTACAGTAGTCATAGTAAATGATACAACTTTACTCACAGCTGCTACAACAAGACATTAAAGGGAGTCCACTGAGTTTTTTTCTCTCTTTATGACTGCACTAGAAATACTTGTTTGATATTAATGTTGCACTTGAAACAGATTTTCACCATCTTGTGTGCAAAATTTCAGATCATTTGTTCACTTTCTTTTTACATGATAATTATTCTTATTGTGAAAAACAACGCAAAATTAAAAAGCGTTGCAGCACTGTATTGATCACAGCACACAAATACCCTTTTATTTTTTAAAATAATTCTAAATTATCTTTTGCAAGTCTTTCTATTTAAAGTGCCCTAGCTGGTCTACATAAGAAATTAAAATTTATGTTTTTATACTTTTGAACCTCGGTGGAGTACCTTTAAATTACAAAATATGTGCAGGTTAAGTAATGGAAGTTACAGGATATGCATCATATCAAACCATATTATGCAAATTATGACAATTTCAGAGTGTTTTCGTTTTTATAAAAGCTGACAAATATTAATTTTATAGTTTAAAGAAATTGTATCATAATCCTATGAGAAAAAATGATTGAATTTTCTATTTAACAGAAAGACATAGGCTGTGATGTTTACAATGACACTTTAATCAAGTGTCAGAGTATTGGAAGCAAGGACAGTGGGAATCCATTAAAAGCAGGGGCAGTAACTGTGTTCGCATTACTTTTCCAAGTTGACAGGAAAGCTATAGCAACTGTAAGGTCCATTCAGCTGACCGCATGGGTCGATACGTAAGCATTCTATGCTTTTATTCAATCCTGTAAATTTGCCTCGGGTAATTAGTTTTAAAAATTTGTTCAGAAACAGTGTTAGAATTTTCAAAAATTAATCTGTAAATGAGTATATAACACATATGGTTTATTCATCAGTAATTTCAACCTTATTGATTTCCATCATTTGTTTGCAGTTAAAAGATCCATTTGCAAAATTGATTACTTCATTGTGGCCATTTTCTCAAGTGTATGCATCATTTAGACTGATCTTGAGTGATTTTTTTTAAATATTAGTTATTTTTAAGACAACTCAAGTGCGTTTCTTTTTATCACATCACTTCCTGACTTGAATATTGAAACTGATGACATTGTTTTGACGTTTTATGCTTGGTTGTTGAATGTTGTTTCTTCATGAAATGTGTAAGCAGAAATGACATTACAGTTTTGATACATAACACTTGTGTAATGTAAGGTATTATCTCATAAACTTAGGTGCAGGAGTGTAATAAAAACGATGTTTCACTAATGTAATAATACTTTGATGTGACTTGAATTGCGTTATATATAAAAATAGCGTAAAACGTGTGCTCATGGTAGCGTTACACTGTAGGCATGTCAATGAAAAAGTATATTTTTTTTAATGGTAAACCGTACTTATTTTGAATATGTTATAAATAGAATATTATATTCATGCAGATTTATTACAAAAGTTATTGGACTAGTTCAATAAAACAATATTATGCTCGCCATAATATGGATAATTCAACTTCAGTGTTGTTATATTTTTCTTGTCCTTCGGGGTCCTTGATGCTAGCACTATTAAGTGTTGAGAAGTGAGTTACCGCTGAAGCCGGTGCTAGGGGGCGTGAGGGCTGTTGTACTTATTCATTATCCCTCATGTACAGACTCGATCAAACCGAGTCTGCGATTTTCATTTATGCTTCCGAGGGATCACTTTATTTCCAGATTTTTTTGTTCAATAAATTCAGTATTAAATCTACACTCATTCAATATCCTCTACGTGTGTAATAGTTATGTAGCATGTAAAACAAACAAAGTCATGAGATTGATAAAAAACTTTCTTATTTTTTTCAGAACAAGTATAGAAGTAACACCAGCTGCTGACAAAGTTGTAATACCTATTGTAGTTTATGTAAATGCTGATTTACAAGTGTTTGGGTAAGTGAGCATACTGTTAATCCTTGTTTGTTCAAATTTTGGATTCTTACAACTTAACACTATCTTTATGAGATCCACAAACTTTGTCAAGCTGTATACAGATCTAATTGGATTACAATATTCTAGGATGATCACTCATGATACCTCATAATTATGTAGTGGCACTTGCCAACTTTATTTTTAAAAATACTGTCGGCAAGCATGTTGGTCATTCTTCTACATATCAATAATCCTCGAGATAATTTATTCTCTCCCTCAGTCCGATAGGCGATAAAGACATTCCGATGCCATCTGTTATCGGTATGTTAAATGTGAATTACATCCTGGCTTGATATTGCACAGTCTTAACATCTATTTATAGCTGTCTTGAAATTAATCAACCGTATTTGTTGTTTTTGATGACGTTTAAACGCGCACGTAATAATTTTATTCGTAATAAAATAAATGAAAACAGGGTATTGTTCACGCGTGCAAGGACTTAGTATAAGTAATAGTTATAGTTCAGATTTTAAAAAATATGGAATTTATTGCAAGCGTAGAAATAGTTCTATATTTCTTTTACTTTACCGCGTTACGTAGTATAGCGGTAAAGTTATGTCTGCACGTTACGATTGAATAAGTCACATGACCAATGTTTGATTGTTTTGTTACAAACTGACCAATCGAAATGAATGGTATGATAACATTGGGATAGGTAGAGTTACAGGTATCAGTTTCTAGCGTGCACCACTGCTAATAAACACGTGCTTTAAAATTTCAAGTTCATAAATTTAAAAATAAATAAATAAATAGTGGTTATTAAAGGTAAACTTTGGTGAAATGTTGTTATAAGGATATGTTTTAGTTGAAAGGTTATTAGACCATTCATGTTATATTATTTAATATTTCGTGTGAAGTCCACACACGCCGCTGAGGAAGGCACTGAACTTGTTAAATTGGACACAGGTTTTATCAGAGTAACATTCTCTGTTTGTTTTCCTGGACGTCGTGTTTTCCGATGACGCGGATGTTTATTATTGAGAGATCTTTTAACATACTGTAAATGTCACTGCATTATAATATGTATACATATAATGTCACAAATATTGATACAATTGTATGTTTTTGGTGTAATAAACGGTCTCGCGTAGCTATTGTGCAGCGCTACCAGGCGAAATATATGTTTGTGTTACGTTATTTGTAGTAAAGGGGAGACTTTAAATTATGAACTATAACTGGCTTACCGTTTGACCCACTTTCGTGGAATAAGTCAGGTACGAAGTGTCGGTACAGCTGTAATGTAATACGAGTCCAGCCCTAACTAGTAAAGATTGACAGGCCAACACATGGTCTGAGTGTTTTGACCTGTCAATCAAAGCTTTGCGTTTTTATGTATTTGCATCATGTAACAATTCTGCGATCAGGTTGTGTTTGACATAATATATATAGCAAGAATCATATTTTTGAACCATTTCATGTGGTCACGGTTGCTTGATATTGCTACGCAGGTTTTATATGCAGACACAAGCAACAAGAGGCATAAGCTCAGGTAAATATTTTATAAAAAAATATTCTCGAATTCTCGCAATATCTAACTTCATCATTATCTGAATGAAAATACAAATTGTAACATGACTAGGCGCGCAGCTTTTGTACGCCCAACCAGTACCGAATCTCAAAATAGATGACGGTAAATTATTCAAACATAACATGGTTAAACTGCCTTAAATGCTGTTGCAATTATTAAAAAAAAAACTTTGAAAATCATATTTCAGTGATTTCTTTGATATTTGCATTTTGCAGGCCGATTTGAAAAGCTTTTGTCATCATTCTGATGACATTAAGAAGAAACAGAAATACAGTGCCCTATAATACAACGAAAAACAACAACTGGGCAGTGCACGTCTGGAAAACCGCAACCTACAACCGGAGACTCAGCAAGAGCCTGGTTATCCTATTCCCGTTCAAATAGAGCAGTTCCGTTCATGTGCAGCAATGGATTTTTGGTCGCAACAATTCATCTGTGAAATTGAAAGGAAAAATGGAGAATTCTATCCTCCAACAACTTTACTAAACATTGCTGCAATGCTAAAACGGTATCTTCGAAATGAAAAATCCATGCAGGTGAACTTTGTTAAAACTGAAGATCCTTTTTTTCTGAACTTTGCAGAATAATGGATCGACGCATGCGCGAGATGACTATACGAGGGTATAGGGGTCGAAGTCAACTGTTAAAAAAGTGGAGTTTTTTTAACAAAATGTGGAAAAAAGTTTGTCATGGAATTATGAAACATGGATATTCTGTATGATTATTTTAAGATAATTATGTGTTAGTTTCGAACTTTGAAATTTCTCTCACTCCATGTCTATTATACTGTTTTCTAATGTTTGAATTATAACCATGACGGTATAGGGAATGTACTGTTTCAATAATTTTTATACATGTAAAAGCTTGGATTTATAAATACCCGTATGAAATCGCTTTCTTATTTGTTTACTTTATTCGCATGCCACATATATTGTCTAATTTTAAACTCCGCCCATATCCATAACGTCATATTTGTCAATACCCATTAAAATATGTCTACTTATTTTTCACATACACCAGTCCCGGTATAGTGTATGCAAAATATTTCAAATAAATTTGAGCATTTGATTGGATAAGAAAGTGGGACAAACGGTAATAAAGTGAAGAAGAAAGCATGTATATATACAATATATACAAAATTCGAAGGGGCCAGAAAGTTAGCAATTTAGCTAAATCTCAACCTAGACAGTTTTGGAAAAAGATTCGAAAATCTTTTAAAAAGGCACCACGTAAGGCCGATAATCCTAATATCGATAGTCTGTTTATCCATTTTAGTGAGGAACCGCCGAGTAGTGAAAATGACGACTATATTCCGCAGAACGACCAGACCGACGCTTACCTAGATATTTATTTTACAGAACAAGAACTTAGATCCGCAGTTTTCCGTCAAAACAATAATAAAATGCCGGGGTTAGACAATCTTCCAAGTGAATTGTTTAAGTCGAGCTATGATTTAATTTCACCTCTTTTGTTGAAAATATATAACAGAATATTTAACAGTGGTGAATATCCTAATTCTTGGGGTTTAGGAATAATTACTTCTATCTTTAAAAAAGGGGACATATATGATGCTAAGAATTATCAAGGCATTTTTCTTATTAATGTACTTGCAAAAACTTACTCTCAGTTGCTTTTAAATAGATTAACTCAATGGTCGAACAAATACGATACGCTTGACAAAAATCAATTCGGATTTCAAAAGGGGAAGTCAATCATTGATTGTATTTTTGTCCTACATTCTGTATTAAGTAAAGTTCTAGACTTGGGTAAAAAACTTTATTGCTGTTTTGTTGATTATATGTTGTGTTTTGATAGAATTAATAGAACAAATTTATGTCAAAAACTTATAACAGAAAAAGTAAATTTGTACGGGCCGTATAAGCAATGTATACTATTGTTAAGTCCTGTGTAAAGTTCAATTCAGAATCATCAGACTTCTTCACATCTAACATCGGATTGAAACAAGCGGACCCGAGCTCCCCCTCTGCTATTTATGTACATCGTAAATGACGTCACACACAATACTAATACAAATATTGATGATATATACTTTATGCTACATACCCGGAAGCATTACAGTCTATGATAAATGATTTTGTAACGTATATTGTAGGAGTGGGGTCTAAACAATCAACCCTACAAAAACTAAAATATTAATATTTCGAAAGAGGACGTCACTCTCAAAACATAACTTTATATTGAAGATACACACCCTTAGAAGTAGTTACGTCATTTAAATATTTAGGTATTACATTATTTAAAAATGGAAACTGGTATCGCAGTCAAAAATGTATTGCACAGCATGCGTCTCGTGCATTATATAGCCTGTTCACCACCTTTAATAATATCGAGTTACCAATTAAACAAGAAGTAAGCTTATTTGATAGTTTGGTTGGTTCTATTCTAAATTTCGGCTCTGAAATATGGGGAATACATGAAGCGACTGACATAGAACTGTTACTTACTAAATTCTCACGTCGCTTATTGTGTGTGAAACGCTCAACAAACCTTTCCGCACTTTATGGAGAACTCGGGCGCGTACCACTAGCCGTATTCAGAAAAATAAACATAATTAAATATTGGATTAAAAAATTAAGGCACGCGGACTCTTCATTAATAAAGCAGACCTATACGTTTTTAAAAGCTGACGCTGATAGCGGTCGTGAGTATCGTGGTCTTAATTGGGCTGCTCAAGTGAAAAGTATTTTAGATGTACATGGATTAAGCTATGTCTGGAATCAACAAACGGATGTGAATAATATACCGTTCCAGTTGATAAAACAACGCATATTAGATACATATTTTCAACGCTGGTACTCAGACATAAATAATTCGCCACGCCTTCAATCTTACTGTATATTTAAGCATTATTTTCAAACAGAACATTATTTAGATTGTATTAAAGAGAACAAGTATAGGGTTGTACTATCAAGACTTAGAACATCGTCGCACAGTTTACTTATAGAAACCGGACGTTACGAGAATATCGCACGAGAAGAACGGCTTTGTAAATCATGTAATATGTAATATGAGAAAAGTTGAGACTGAATTCCACTTTATTTTAGTATGTCCTAAATATAATATCGCGAATTGAGAACCAAATATTTTCGGCGTTGGCCATCTATACATAAATTTGATCAATTAATGAATGCCACATCTAAAAAATATATTTGTAATTTATCGATATATATATATTTTGCCAATAGAATAAGAATTTCATAATTTGTCCATTCACCTCCATAATACTGTATGCTCTTATTTTGACATGTTAGAAAAAATACACTGAACTTTGTTAAAATGTGCGTAATACTATGTATTTATAAGTCAATTTAATTAACTTGTTTTTTCTTTTCTGAAAACACGTTTTCATGTACCTGCCTGCATGTAATGCTTGCTATAAACTTTGTAAAAGAGTTTTATGCAATAAATCTATGTTATGTTATGTTATGTTATGTTTCCGGTGCTTTGTATTTTTTTGATGTTGTGAAGTTTTTGTATTTGAAAAGAAATATGTTGGTAAATTTCCTTATGAGCAAATGAGGGATTCTTAAACGTTAAAAATCCTATTTAAAATAGTGTCATGAAATAATCTATGGCAATATTTCATTCTGTTTATGTACAGAATTCTTGTGTTAATTTACAGAAACATTCTATAGTTACATTTTGCTTGATAACCACCCATATGAATATGAAGACAGCGTAATTTATTTAGATATCAGGATAATTTTTATGCCCCCCCCCCTCTCCTTCGAAGAAGAGGGGGTAAATTGTTTTGCTAATGTCTGTCGGTCCATCGGTCTGTCCGTCGGTAGAACACATGGTTTCCGCTGATTATCTTTAAAATTATTTATCACAAAGTCTTCATATTTCACATACTTATTGGTCATAACTAGTAAATAACCCATATTCTAACACGACCCGCATTTTTCCCTATTGAACATAGAAGAACCGAAAGTGTGTGTTATTATGCAATAGAGTCACTGTTTGACGTTCTATATTTAGACATGTGACGTAATCATTACACATGTGACGTAACCACTATAAAATCCGACGCGCTGACAATAAGTACGGAACAATGCTTAATAGCAGGTACGGCAGCTATGGAAAGCCATGGCTGTCTGATATTGTTTTTTTTCAATTTATGTAACCATTAGGATAATATATGAGTTCACTTCGACTACATATGAATTGAAAACACCTTCTTATTTAACCGGAATCCATTATATTAATCCACAGTTATAATATATGAAACCATACCGTCAGTGTATGAAACCGAGTTAGCAATATATAGGTTGATTTTCTCAATATATGATTCCAATTCTTCAATATATGGTACCAAAGTAGCCATGTATGGAACCAGATGTCCTTATATGAAACCGAATTATCAATATATTAATTCATTTTTCAATATATGAAACCAATGTATCAATTTATGAAACCAAAGTAGAAATATATAAGTTGGTTATTACATTATATGATACCAATTCTTTCAATATATGGTACCAAAGTAGCCATATATGGAACCAGATGTCCTGATATGAAACCGAATTATCAATATATTAATCCATTTTTTACAATATATGAAACCAATTTATCAATGTATGGAACCAAAGTAGCAATATATGAGTTGGTTATTACATTATATGATACCAATTCTTCAATATATGGTACCAAAATAGCCATATATGGAACCAGATGTCCTTATATGAAACCGAATTATCAATATATTAATTCACTTTTACAATATATGAAAACCAATTTATCAATGTATGGAACCAAAGTAGCAATATATGACTTGATTATAACTTTATATTATACCAGTTCTTCAATATATGGTACCAAAGAAGCCATATATGGAACCAGAATTGCCCTTATAAGAAACCAAAAATTAATCAATATTTATTAAGTCATTTTTTACAATATATGAAACCATTTTAAAATTAAATTAAATGGAAACCAAAGTAGCAGCTGCTAGTATATATAAGTTGATGTTACATTCTATTGATAGCAATTTTTCATTAAATGGAACCAAAATAGGCTATTTTCAAGTCAAGCAATTAAAGCCCCGAGGTCACTGGGTTCTGTTATTCAATGCATACACTTTTTCATGAAATCAATTTTATTTACTGATTATTTTTTAAAACTTTGTGAGTAGATTAACCTTGAAATGTGCCATTCGGGCCAAAATGCCTATTTGATCAAAGGTAAAGGTTACGCAGCATGAACTTATTTTTTTTAAATATGCTTTTTGTTAAAAGGGCATTCAGTACGACTCAATAGCTTAAAATATGACATACAATTCCTACAATATTAACAGATAAGTTTTGCCTTGCCCGGGCCCCATTTTTAATGTGAACGTTGACGTTTAAAAATTCAAATATTTCCCTTTCATTCAAGGGGAAAAATTTGCAGTTTATGCAAGTCAGTGAACACGCTGTTCTTTTTTTATACAGGAATATTTGGCGCGAAACTGTAATACCCGGGTGCAAAAGGATAGAATACAAGGCCCCTTTAAATAAAGTCCCGGTCAATATAATGACATTTTTTTGCGTTCAATATATTGCCTACTTTTGGTAACATAAAATTGGGAAAAACTTTGGGAAACATTAAAAATTTAAAATCCAAAATTAAAATATTGCTACTTCTCTTACCCTAAAAAAAAGATAAAAGGGTTTCCCTATATTGTTAAAATTGATTTAAATATTTAAAATAAATTGGTTTTTTAAAATAAAGGGCATCTGGTTTCCCATTTTCATTTACTTAAAGGGGGATCCAAATATTGAAGATCTGGTATCATATAATGTGATAATCAACTTATATATTGATACTTGGCTCCATACATTGATAAAATGGTTTCATATATTGTAAAAATGAATTAATATATTGATAATTTGGTTTCATATAAGGACACTGGTTCCATTACATTGTTTTACTTTGGTTCCATATATTGAATAATTGGTATCATATATTGTAATAACAACTCATATATTTGATACTTTGGCTCATACATTTGATAAAATGGTTTCATATATTGAAAAATGAATAAATATATTGATAATTTGGTTTTATATAAGGACACCTGGTTCCATACATTGTTACTTGGTTCCATATATTGAATTATTGGTATCATATTTAGTTGTAATAACAACTCATATATGCTACTTTGGTTCCATACATTTGAAAAATGGTTTATATATTGTATAAATAAATTAATATATTGATAATTTGGTTTCAAATTAAGGACACCTGGTGCCATACATTGTTATTTGGTTCATATATTGAATTATTGGTATCATTATATTTATCAATAACCAACTTCATATATTGCTACTTTGGTCATACATTGATAAAATGTTTCATATATTGTAAAAAATGAATTTAATATATTGATAATTCGGTTTCATATAAGGACCATTGGTTCATACATGGCTTACTTTTGGTATCCATATATTGAAGAATTGGAATCATATATTGAGCAAAATCAACTTATATATTGCTAACTCGGTTTCATACACTGACAGTATGGTTTCATATATTGTAACTGTGGATTAATATAATGGATTCCGGTTAAATAAGAAGGTGTTTTCAATTCATATATAGTCGAAGTGAACTCATATATTATCCAAATGGTTAAATAAATTGAAAAAGAACAATATAAGACAGCCATGGCTTTCCATAGGCAGCGTTTATTTGTTTATGTCGTGTTAGAATCGAAATAATATATCCCAATCGGTGATTTTATCGCTGGATAACATCACTGTTTGTCGTTCGGATGCGCATCATTATATCACTCGGGCTACGCCCTCGTGATATAATTCCTCGCATCCGAACTCCAAACAGTGATGTTATTGAGCGATAAAATCACAGTTTGGGATATATTATTTCTTAAATGACTTTGGGGTCACTAGGTCAGAGGTCAAAGTCACAGGCTTCTGAAATGTCAGAATTGTTTCCGCTCATTTCCTTGAAAACTATTGATAACAAAGTCTTTATGTTTCACATATTGAGTATTTATATGTGGTAGATGACCCCTATAGATTTTTGGGTCACTAGATCGAAGGTCAAAGTCACAGGTGCCTTAAATGTCAAAACCGTTTCCGCTTATTATCTTGAAAACTATTTATCACAGAAACTTCATATTTCACATATTGATACATATTGGTTGGTCGTAACTAGTTTATGTACCCTATTGATGTTTGCATCACTATGGTAAATATCAAGGGCACAGGGGCCTTAATTAAATGTCAGAATGGTGTCTGCTCATTATCTTGAAAACTATTTATCACAAAGTCTTCATATTTCACATACTGAATAGCCATATGCAGTACATGACCCCGATAGAGTATGGGATCACTATAGTCCAAATGCAAGGTCACAGCGGCCTTAAATGTAATGTAATTTATATTTAACATATTGATTAGTCATAATGGGGTCAAAGGTCAAGGTCATTATGCTTAACACATTGATTGGTTATAACTAAGAGGTCATTATTTTCCACTTCCATGTACAATGTACCCATTTATGGCAAGTTTCTATAACAAAAGTACCAATAATATGAGTCAAGGGCTAGAAGGGGGGACATATGTGTCGTTCGATATTTCCTGTTTATTTTTTAATTAATAAAAAGTCATATTACGTAGCTTTATACACTTTTATATATTCAGTCACTGTAAAGCCAATGAGTCTATTATCTTAACATTTTGTTATAGAATTGCAGAACCTGACAGTGCCATCTTCTCGTGTAATGTTCGCGAAGACAGTGCTATTAAAAACGAGGTTATAATTGGAAAATCAGTGAAACATACTTATACAGTAAGTCAAATTCTGTGAACCATATTTATTATATCATTTCAAATTTGTGAACAGTAATATATATGTACTTCACAGTCTCACCTTATTTACATTGGACCCTAGGTTTCTATCTAAGATGTTAAGTTTTAAAATATGAACATATATAATTTCAAACATTTTGCACAAACATAACTATAATACATGCAATAATTACTTACACAATACATTAATTAAGAATGATGAGATTCAAAAGCATGAAATTCTGATAAAGGTATCTCCCTACAAGAGACCCGTGGTGACATTTCAACTTCTTGAATTATCGGGTTCAAATTCACAAATTTAAAATTTCAACTTCATATATCCACAATTTCAACTTTTTGAATTCACGATTTCAACCTTTTGAATTCACGGTTTCAACTTCTTGAATAACGATTTCATCATACAGAATTCACGATTTAAACTTCTTGAATCACGTTTTCATCATACAGAATTCACGATTTAAACTTCTTGAATTCACAATTTCATTTTCTTGAATTCACAATTTCATCATACAGAATTCACGATTTCAAGTTAACTTTATGAATTCACGATTTCATCTTCTGAATTCTCAGTCTTAGCTTTGTTCAGTTGAAATGTCCACACCGCTCTTTCATTTTTCCTGGCATGTAATTTGTTACTACTTTTTGATTTTCATGGATATGTTTTAAGATGGAGAGTATTCTAAAGACATGAATTTAAAATGAAAAACACAGAAGTGCCATTATAGAGAGCTAAAATAATAAAATTTCAGAGTTATAATAGGTTTGATTGAATATCTTGCTATAATATAAATGTATGTGAAAAAAATTATAATAGAAATGTTAATGAGCCGTTTAGTTTGCCACTTTACTGCTATGGGGACCCTCAGTGGTGTATTGTTAAACTACTGTTGTTAACGTCACTTCCGACATTACATTGTTTTTGTTGTTTTCTCTAATATATGACTGTTGGTCAGTAAAAGTCAAATCTGGAAAATGCAATTCATTTTGTTATTAATATACACCCCATAATTATATTCCTGTAATTTATTTTTACCCCAGATTTACAACAATGGTCCAGACAGTGTAGAATCATCTGAGATCACGATTTTATGGCCATACGAGACAGCTAGTAAATATCCTCATGGTAAACATCTCCTGTATCTAATGAAGCCACCACAGGTTTGTATACCAGTATAAGTGTTATAATTATATTCACGTCTCATTGTATCGATCACTATGTAATATGGTTGGTTAAAAATCATGCTGAAAATATTTAGTTATCTTTTGAGGCTTTCTTGACTGTCGGATCTTTTGAGTCTTTCTTTACTGTCATATTTTTTAAGCCTTTCTGTACTGCCTGATCTTTTTAGCATTTCTTTACTGTCAGATCTTTTGAGCCTTTCTTTACTGTCAGATCTTTTGCGACTTTCTTTACTGTCGGATTTCTTTAGCCTATCTTTAATGTGGTATATTTTGAGCCTTTCTTTACTGTCAGATTTTTTGAGCCTTTCTTTACTGTCAGATCTTTTGAGCCTTTCTTTACTGTCGGGCTTTCTGAGACTTTCTTTACTCTGGTATCTTTTGAGCCTTTCTTTACTGTCTGCTCTTTTGAGCCTTTCTTTATTGTCGGATCTTTTGAGACTTTCTTTACTCTGGTATCTTTTGAGCCTTTCTTTACTGTCTGCTCTTTTGAGCCTTTCTTAACTGTCTGCTCTTTTGAGACTTTCTTTACTGTCGGATCTTTTGAGACTTTCTTTACTGTCTGTTCTTTTGAGCCTTTCTTTACTGTCGGATCTTTTGAGACTTTTTTCACTCTGGTATCTTTGGAGCCTTTCTTTACTATCGGATCTTTTGAGCCTATCTTTACTCTGGTATCGTTGGAGCCTTTCTTTCTGTCGGATCTTTTGAGACTTTCTTTACTGTCGGATCTTTTGAGACTTTCTTTACTCTGGTATCTTTGGAGCCTTTCTTTACTGTCGGATCTTTTGAGACTTTCTTTACTGTCGGATCTTTTGAGACTTTCTTAACTGTCGGATCTTTTGAGCCTACCTTACTCTTGTATCTTTGGAGCCTTTTTTACTGTCGGCTCAAATGATACTTGGAATACCCATTTATCTTTTTAGCCGCTCATTACTGTGTGGTCAATTTCTGCTGAAATTTTCCAGTTATCTTTCGAGACCCTCCTTATTCTGCATATTCTGCTGAAAATATCTTTCTAAGGCAAAGGGTTAAAATCCCTCTGAAAAAAGTTACATTTGTTGTTCAAATCCTATTAAAGATGTGACTTAGGTATCCATCCATGTTGCAGAGGAAAAATAGATTTATTGAGATCCACCTTCTGCCTTAAATAATGTTCCTTTTGGAATTACATGTATCTTAACCAGAAAAACTTGAAAATTGCCATAAAATCTATAACCTTGTTGGAAAAAATTTTGTAAGTACAACTGAAGAAGAGTAAAATTTGAGAAAAGTACAATAAAAATATGCATGATAATAGCAGTATAAAACAAGAATTATTGTATGCACCATTCAATATAGAAAAGATAGCCTGTAAAATCTATTTTCTGTATCTGTATAATGGTTATTCAGTAATGTCGACTGAATTGTTAAACCTATTTTTTATGTCTTATTATGTTGATTTATTCTTGTTTAGATTAATGAGCTCAATAAAAGATACATTTCTACAGAGACATTGTATAAAATATGTTTGAAACTTTTACACATTTCTTAATATTTTGGTAGATTAATTTTTTAACGATAAAAACCATTTCATTTACATTACGGAAGGTTCTTAAAATAAATGTATGTGATACATTGTAAAAATATATTTCGAAATATTTTTTTTTTCAAATTTCTAATCACATTTGGGTACGAAATTTATTTGTGAGTGAATACAGCTGTCATCGATAGAAACAATATCGACGTATCGTTTATATTTTTCTGTCGATCAATAATCGATGCACATTAAAAAAATCGATAATTTTGGCTTATTAAACAAATGTCTAGAAATAAGGAAAATTCACCAAAACATATACAGAAGCGGGTTCCCATGTCTAACATTATTTGTTGTAACATAGTGGAAATATTTCACAGCAATGGTGACAAAAAAATGGTCTGGATAAAAGTCATGAAATGGGCTTTTATAAACAAGATATTGAACAGAACTTGTTTTTCAACTTAAGTCATTTAGATAGGTAAAAAAGTGATTGACAGACATGTAATGTTAGGTAATTATTGATATATCGGTGTATCGTTGACATTTGTCATCTGAAATCGATAAATCTTTAATATGCCTTGCCTTGAATCAATGACAGCTCTTAGATAATGTATGATATATACCATTTGCATTTACATTAAATTCAGGTTCTTAATGGAGGTGATGCCACGTGTTATGATCGACCCGATATTGTCAATGTTAAAGGTGTAGCGGTAAGTAAAATATCATTTTTCAAACAAAAACAAATGATTGTGAAATCATCAATATATATTCTTGATTTAAAATTTGCTAGATATTATGTTTCTAAATCATACATTTTATTTAATATTAATGATATACTTGGTTTGTGAATTGACAAAAAGGAAATATCCTTGTAATGACTAATCAATTATCATTGAATGTTAATGTTGTAAAATGATGAATGCTATTTTGATAATGTGATGTGATAAAAGTAAAAAGGCATACATTATCTCTAATTTAGGAAGAAATTAAGCTTCTAGTTGAAGACATTTATTCATGCTGAAGAATGTTTATATTTAACCCTAAACTGCTGGAACTAAATGTGATAAGCTATTGTCCCCAGTATAGAGCCAGGCCAGCCTGAAAATCACTGCAGTCTGGACAGAATCTAGTCAGGCCGGCCTGAATACCACTGCAGTCCGGACATAATCTAGAGTCAGGCAGGCCTGAATATCAGGCCAGTCCTTACAGAATCATATTCTACACTGTTGGCTGACCAAATTTAAAATTTATACTATCAAATGTAAGATATAGTATAGCACCCTTGACGTCCAAATTTTCAACGTCGACGTTCTTGAAATGGACATTACAATACTACCATTTACCTAAGTTGAAATAAATTAAATTACTTAATTATAGAAAAAATATGCATTTATTATTGATTAAAAAAATTATTAACAAAAAAACTAAAACAAGCATTTTTGGGACCGTCCGGGTTTGGTGGTCCGCAATCAGTAGCCAACTGTATAGAGTCTCTACAGATTTCACAAAACTGCTGACTGGACAGGCTCTGTACTGATGGCACGGGCAATTTACTATCACCGACTGTGTCCAAAGGGTAAAATAAAATATATCATATAAATGCCAGAATTTTAATGATTTCACAATAAGTTGTTTGGCTGTTGTTTCTTTTTAAATAATAAACTAAAAGCTTGAAAGTTTGTTGAGATGCCTTTTTGTTACAAGTTACAGTTAATTGTTGTAATTATATTTAAGTTAACGATACTAACATTCAGGGGTTTTGATTAAAAATGAAATACTACATAAAAAAGATAATTATTAAGAATATTGTCACATTATTGCAGTAGCGAGTTAAGTCCTTCTTAATTTAATATGGAGTTAACCAGTTATTGCACTAAGGTGACAATATGTTTGAGAATACAGTACATCCTCTTCAGAACAGCCCTTTGTAAACTAATCAGAGCAATCACCCTACAATAACATTATTTTTTTCCCAAAGGAAGGCTTTGGAATAGATTAAACCACATTGTTTCCCAAAGGGTTCTGCTGTACACGGGTTGTACTGTGTAATGTGATTAAAATACTATATAACATAATATTCATTATTGCATATTTATGCATTCAAAGTATAACCATAAATATAACCATGCCCACAAGCCAATTTAAGTCCAGAGGCTAATATCACTTCTAACATAGAGATATATATTATCTACATTATTTTGCTGTTTGACATTGCCTGCATTACAAAGCATGCAAACAATTACATATATATGCTTTTTTATTGTAAGCTTGAGAATTCATCATAAAATGTTTGTCTTCTCTGAAAGTAAAATATACAAGTTAAATTACTATTTACATTAATGCAACCTCATCACATAGCGATGGTAAGAATGTCTTACTGGTTAAAGTTAGAAATAAGGTGCGTTAGGTTTCCCTCCATCAGTAAGAGTTCCTTAGGAAGAAACCTTCAAAAGTCTGCTACCTCCACCAGTATAGGCTTCTTTTCCAGTTTGGTATAAAGTAAGAAAGCAGGCACCTGTAGTAAAACTTGAAAGTCTTTATTTTATATTTACAGCATCTGAAATAAATTTATAAGTAAGATGTTGAGTATTCATAAGCTGTGGTTCCGAATTCAACAATTTGCATCATGTTAAGAGTATTTATTCTTTGCAGAAGATATTTATCATGTCAAGTAGAAATAAAAACAAGCATTCAATGGAAGTTAAAACGTAAATGTAACTTTATTAATAAGTGATTTATTTGATGTATTTTAAGTCATGCAAATATTATTTAAGTGATTTATTTGATAAATCTCAGCCATGCAAATATTACTCTAACTGATTTGTTCATTACAAGTCATGTAAAGGCCTCAACAGACGGTAGGATTTTGAAGTACAACAACAATTAAAACTAAGATGTACAGGCAAATCTTAATATGTGAAGGCTACTATTTCTTGAATTCGGAAACCTTAAGTCTAGATGTAAGTGATAGGACATGTTCTATTTTGAAAATCTTGTCGTACAGATTTCTACAGACCTCCCACAATGACAAGTTACAGATTACCAAATTATCTCCTGATAATGGGTGTAATGAATGAAATTCCAGAACAATTAGGACTAACAGGTAAACATAGTAGTAAGATGGGTTAAAAATGATGTTGAAAAACTCTTCAGGAGACCCAAAGTTGTGTTTTGTTCGAATCCCATATAATTCCGAAAATGATTATGTCACGGTATTGAACTGTTCTTAAATAAGGGGAGGGGAGGTATTTTGTAGGCGGCTGGATAGCCTAGTCAGTAGAGCCACAGTACGGTATTCCGAGGGTCCCAGGTTTGAGTCTCGGTCAGGCTTCACATTAAAAATATATATTTATTTTTTTAATCGAGGTGTTTCAATCATTACTCATGGCGAAAAAAGTATTTAGTAAGTAAAGTATGTAAGGGATCAATTGGGAGGGAACTTTTTTTACCTGAGATGAGCTCTTATCTCTAATTAGTGTTGTACAACTAAATCCTACCGTCTGTTAAGGCCTTAAGCATATTAATGAACAATTCATTCAATATTTTCAGCGGTGCAAATATTTTTTAAGTGATTTATTAGATACTTAAAAAAATTAAGCCATACGAATATTATTTAAGTAATTTAATCAATATGCTTAAACAGGCTTAACATATTAAAATATACCCAAATTATCAATACTAGATACATATCATTCACCTGTGGCAAAATACTTAGTGCAAATCAGTTGTTTCCACTTCTTTTCTCATAAGCTTATCAAAAACTCTTTGATCACACCAGGGTACCCTTTATTGCCAGGGTTTCCTTCTTTAGTTAAGCTAGAAAATTGAAATTGGCATAATGCATGACAGCACAAAATGACCGCCAGAGCTAAAAATATAAAAAATCTTGTCTGGCCTTCACATGTCAAACTACTGGTGGGATTTCAACCAACCATTACAGGAGTAATTAGTACCATCCCTAGTTGTGCACGTCACCGGCACGTTCCGCATGCTGTACAAAATGGCCACCAGAGCTAAAAATCGAAAAATCTTGTCTTGCCTTCACAGGCCAAACTACCGGTTGGATTTCGACCAAACATTACAGGAGTTATCAGTACAATCCCTAGGTGTGCACGTCACAGCACGTTTTGCTTAGCTGCACAAAAGGTCACCAGAGCTCAAAGTAGAAAAATCTTGTACTGCCATCACAGGTCAAACTACTGGTTGGATTTCAACCAAACCTTACAGTGATTATCAGTACCATAGTTGTGTACTTCCCCGGCACGTTTGGCTTCGCTGAACAAAATGGCCACCAGAGCTAAATAAAGAAAAAAAATTGTCCTGCCATCACAGGTCAAACTGCCAGTGATATTTCAACCACCCTTTACAATAGTGATTAGTACCGCCCTTTGTTTTGCAGGTGCACGGCACATTTGACGTCGCTGCATAAAATGGCCGCTAAAACTAAAAATAGAAAAATCTTGTCCGGCCTTCACAGGTCAAATTACTGGTAGTAATTCAACTAAACTTTACAAGAGTGATCAGTACCCTGCCTTGCTTTGCAGGTGCCCGGCACATTCAAATTCGCTGCACAAAATGGCCGTCATAGCTTGAATTAGAAAAAAATATCCGGTCTTCTAAGGTCAAACTACTGGTGAAATTTTCAACCTTAAACTTTACAGGAGTGATCCGTACATACCTAGTTGTGCACGTCACAGGCACATTTCGCTTTGCTGCACAAAAAGGCCGCCAGAGCTAAAATTAGAAAAATCTTTTCTGGCCCTCAAACAAGGTCAAACTACTGATGGAATTCCAATCAAACTTTACAGGAGTGATCAATACCTTCTGTAGTTGTACTCGTCGCGCCAGTAATCACTTCACTGCACAAATGGCCGAGAGAGCTAAAAAAAATGAAAAGAAAAAAAAAAAAGAAAAAAAAAAAAAAAAAAAAAAAAAATGCTCTCTGGCTATCACAGGTCAAACTGCTGGCGGGATTTACACCAAATTTCAAAGGAGTTTAGTAACACCCCTAGTTGTGCATATCACAACATGATCCGCATTGCTGACAAAATTGTCGACAGAGATATGAATAGTAAAATCTTGCCAGGCTTTCACAGGCCAAGCTACTGGGGGATTTCAATGAAACATCACATGAGTGACCATACAAAGTTTTGGAGACATATGTTTGTGACTAAAACCCTTCTAGTTCCTTTTCGTTTTCCTATAAAGTAACAAACTAAATTTCAATGCAGTGCAAACCAGAGTTAGATTTCAAATACCATAATTTATATGTCATTTTTATGTAAAAGATAATTTGGGCAGAAGCATTAAATAAATATTGAAAGTCACAAGTAACAATTATTTTTCTTTTATGATCTTAAAAAGAGAGATAGAATAACAACTTGATTGTGATTACTTATTATTGCATCTCTTAGTGTGTGATATACACATAACTTTAAAAAAAATTTAGAAAGTGCAAAATTAAAAGAAAAATGTTAATGTTTGTTATGAATTAGTTACACTATTGGTTATAAATAGTAAGTTTGTTCATAATAATAAGTTTCCTGAAACTGGGATTACTTTTACAAGAATTTACAAGAATTTTGATAGGCAAAGGAAAGATTGTAATGCCTAAGATATAGTTTGATAGAGGTGAGCCTTAAAATGTTTCCCATGCTTCCCAGTGATTAGATTAGATCACTGAATCATGGGAAAATTGCAGGCCCTGTTCCACAGATTGATTTTAAACCCAGCAAACAATTTAAACATATTCCTAATGTACGGCTTTGTAACTATTGCAGGTTGAAAGTAGTGGGCCAGAAGATACAGTAAATAATGGTCAGCGTAGAAAACGACAGGCAGATACGTCAGATGAAAGACCTATGGAGATACGGGAGAATGAACCAAAGGTCGGAGAAGTTAACGTTGTTCTTTTTGTAAGTTTTATTCTGAGTATTTGTTCTATAATCCATTATATACTATAATGATGAAGTGAGTTAGAATATTTAATTTTCCTGAAATTTATAATGTTTGAAATATTATCAATATTACACATTGTGTATATTTCAAATTAATATTAATTACATTACTCATAATATTATACAAATAAGTTTGACATTACTTACAACAATATTTGTTGTTTCTTTATTCCTGTTTGTATGGAGAATTGCTCTTAAAAATAGAATAAAAATGCAAAATATAGCTTAAAAATACATGTTAATATTATTGAAAGTTGGTTTTGAAAGTGCATTAACTAATCAAGTTAATTCTGATTTAAATTTTGTAAAAAGTACAAGGTATAATGAGTATAGATTTTAATAATAACATCAAATGTTTCAATTTCCTTAACCTTTTTGAAAGAAAAACATTTTTTGTTATTTTTAAGAGGAACTGTATTTTCTATATCAGATCCTGAGTTATAATAGAACAGGTCAATTCAATTCAGTTTCAAATCAATATTTTATTGAGCATATAAACATATTTACAATGTTCTTTACCCACATTTATAACATGTAAGGCGATGACATTTTTTTACAATGAGAAGAGTATGATTATGTTATTACAATGAACTATAGAAATAAACCAATAACAACATTAGTACTAAAGTACATAAAATGAAAATTAATCATATCAGAACAAATGATTCATACTGTGGAGAGAATAATTTTCTCAATAGTGATTGCAAAATCAAACAAATTACATATTTGTTCTTTTAAAAAGCAGCATTTCTCATTAAAATTATAAATTTTAATTTCAGGAATGTGCCAAGGACCGGGCAAAATGTTACAAGATCAGATGTAAGATTGGTATACTGAATTCAGGTCAATCAGTGAAAATACAAATCAGAGCCAGACTCTGGGAAAACACATTAATAGAAGTAAGTTTTCGACAAAAATGAGTAAATGAGTAAAAAAATCATTTGAGTAAAAAGAGGTTAACACAAACTTTACCCTCAGTGTAATTAATCGAGGATCTATGGTAGTTCAGTCATTGAACCATGGTGTCCATTCTTGCCCGAGGTATTTCCTTATAAGGAAAAGCAGAACAGTTTCTGATGAATATGTGTAATGGATTGCCCTTGAATTGAAATTGGAATAGTTCATTAGTAATTTAAGAGTATTCGGTGTTATAACACTAGAACTATTATATGGATAGAAAATACTTTTCTCTTAACTAATATTTATATGGTTGTTATGGTTATACTTTTCTCTTAACTTAGTAGCATGGTTATATATTTATAATGTGAAATTAAATTTGGTGAGTGAAAATTTTGGATAAAAATGTATAATTATTGTGTCAATTGTTGTCACTTTTTAGCTCACCTGAGCTTTTATAATCATTGAATGTCCGTCGTCCGCCACATTTGTTTGTTAACAATTTAGAGGTCACATTTTTTCCTTAATCATCAACAAACGTTGTCATGATGCTTGTCCAGATAATTGCTCGGGCGAGTTCGAACTTGGGTAATCTAGGATGAAAAACTAGGTCACAGGAGCTACAAATAGTAAAATATTGATAACCCTCTATTGGCTATTGTTTTGATCCAAATATCCTGGAAATTGATTTGAAAGTTTGTTATGATGATTTCCAGATCAAGTTTGAATATGGGTTACCAAAGGTAAAAAACTAGGTCACACTGCCCAAATATAGAAAAACCTTGCTAACACTCGTTTGGTCACATTTTTGCCTCAATCATCATCAAACTATGTCAGGATGCTTTTCCAAGTATTTGCACAGATTACTTTGAACATATGCAATTTTGAATGAAAAACTAGGTCACAGGAGCTAAAATAATTGTTTGATGATTTCTAGGTCAAGTTGGAATATGGGTTACTTAGGGTCAAAAACTAGGTCACACTGCCTAAATATGGAAAAACCTTTTTAACACTCTAGTGTTCACATTTTTCTTGACCCTCTTGTTTTTAAACAGGATTATTCTGATGTAGACGAAGTACATATTAAATCAACTGGTACTATTCATATACGTCAAGAGATGAATGTGGTACAAAGTAACATACAAAATGATGAATATCAGGTTTGTTAATTTTATTGTTAAGTTGATGATTCATGAGCCTATTTATAAATTTACTTGTGGACCTTGCGCTGCTTTTGATGGAATGGCACAAGAGTGTCACATAGATAGTTCATTGATGATAACTTCCATTCAAACTGATGTGAGGATATTCCAAAATTTTCATAAAATAAAGGCAACGTTTTCAATTTCGCCATTTTAAGCGTTTTTGAAGGTCTACATTATTTCTTTTTTTTATTTGATCGCAAGGAACTTTGTCTTTTATTATCCCTCAATTTTTTGTAATGTTGATTTCCTATAGGCCACTTGGAGTTATTCTAACTGTTAAAGCAAGACCGACCTCGTTACTTAGAAATTTATACTGTTACAAGGTAACAGTACGTTTGAACAGTATAAAAGTCAAGTACTATGTTTTTTCCACTATAAAGTATTATAGATGACAGTATTTGCTTGGGGAAATAAAATAAATACCACATGGGTTTGTGAGAAACAATAAAAATATCATCCCACGTAAAAAAACTTAACAGTATTTTCCTCAGGATGATATTTATACTGTTACCCACAAACCCATGTGTTATTTATATAATATCTTTGAGATAGTCACTACTACATTATGTTAAAATGTGTTTTACAAATTATTCATACATTCTTACTCAATTCAGATCTTAAGATTTATGAGCTATACTATTCTGAGAATAGGGAGAACTGTTTTACCCGCCAAGATGTCGGCATCACAATTAAGCTTATTTTTGGCGTGAAAGTTGGTATTTCCTTTGATATTAGTCTTAGCTTTATTATGTCATATTTTATGAAAATTAAAATGATAAAAGAGCTACCTGAAATTACTGCCATATGTACTTATATTACAGGCAACAACTATAGTTATTCCAAGCTTAATTACATGTATTGTTAAAGAGAAGCCACTGGCATGGTGGATATATGCTCTTTCTGTGCTTGGGGGTCTTTTTGGAGGTCTTTTTGTCCTTATTTTACTTACCTTATGTTTGTGGAAGGTAAGAACGTTTTTTATACAATCGTCATATATCATTTTCTCTTTTTAGCTCACTTGAGCTAGCTCAGTGTGAGCTTTTAGGATCGTTGAATGTCCGTCTTCCGTCGTCTGTCGTCCGTTCACATTTGTTCTTTAACACTCTAGCGGTCACATTTTCGCCTCAATCATCATCAAACCTTAGGATGCTTGTCTATAGGTAATTGTTCGGATAAGTTCCAACATGGGTCACAGCTTGTTAACACTCTAATGGCTACTCACACTACTACACACTACTCAAATATGGAAAAACCTTGTTAACACTCTAGTGGTCACATTTTTGGCTCAATTGTCATTTAACTCAGGATGCTTGTCTAGGTAATTGCTCGGATTAGTTCTACGGGTCAGGTGAGCGATCTAGGGCCATCTTGGCCCTCTTGTTTGTACAATTCAGCGCTTCATTACATTTTTTCTGAGAAAAATCCTATGTTATTATATTTTATCCTTAAGATTAATAAAAAGAATTAAAAGCCGGAAAGGGCTACATGGAAACAGTAAAGCATATAGTTGTTAATACTTTCTATCATATTCATGTTACTCTATGAGTTAAACAAATGGTATAAAATAGGGACATATTTGGACAAGTGGTTAATGTTGCTGACTTTAAATCAGTCACTCTTTTACTGCAATTTTTCTGCATGTGAGGCAGCTATTCCGGTAAATTACAGGTCAGTGGTTAGACTCAGTTGCCTATTCATGCAAAGGGGCACCAGTAGTATTAATCCACCAGTACACCACTATAGTTAGAAAGTTCCCAACATTATGACCATTACAATGCTGGTGTTAAAGAATTGTAATCATTGACATTATAGTTGGTATAACTCGTGACCATCATGTTATACTTTCAGTGATTATTTCCACATTTTGCATTTTTTTGTCTAATTAAAGTAATATTAAAAAAAGTGTATTGATAGTGTTGATTTTCCTAGGCGTTTTTGAAACGATACGAAGTGAAATGAAGATACCTTTTTACAATTACAGTGTAGATTTAGCATGATAAATACTATATATTCATTTATTTTTCAGTGTGGATTTTTTAAGAGGAAAAGATATAATGAAGTGTCTTCTTACAGTAGAAAAGAAGAAAAATATATTAGACAATCCCTTAAAAAGTACTAAGGTAGAGACTAAGAAGGATGATATAGATAACCCCTTATGTAAGACTAAGGTAGAGACTCAGAAGGAGGATATAGATAATCCCTTTCATAACACTCAGGTAGAGACAAAGAAGGAGGATATAGATAATCCCTTATATAAGACTATAGTAGAGACTAAGGAGGATATAGATAATCCCTTGTATAAGACTATAGTAGAGACTAAGGAGGATATAGATAATCCATTATATAAGACTATGGTGGAGACTAAGAAGGAGGATATAGATAATTCCTTACATAACACTAAAGTAGAGATTAAGAAGGAGGATATAGATAATCCCTTATATAAGACTATGGTAGAGACTAAGGAGTATATAGATAATCCCTTGTATAAGACTATGGTAGAGACTAAGAAGGAGGATATAGATAATTCCTTACATAACACTCAAGTAGAGCCTGAGAAGGAGGATATAGAAAATCCCTACATGACACTACCGTAGAGACTAAGAAGCAGTATATAGATAATCCCTTACATAATACTAAGGTTGTAGCAGAGTTGTATTCAAATATTTAAATATTTACCATGATTTAAGAGGAAATAATTTCCTTCTGCAAACGTTTGATAATTTTAACAAGATATTATAACACAAAAACCAATTTCACTGTTTTATAATCATGTTTAATCAATTCATAAATCATGAACTGAAATTAACTATTATAGACAAACTGTTACATTATAATAACTAATAATCCAAAAGTGTTGCTTAAATCTGAAATAAGTATATTTTAATGTTCTGTATGACCAAACTATTTCTTATCCAAAATTATTCTAATCGTTCAATGAATCTTCCCTTGTTTTTATACTGCTTTATAAAAAGCGGGAAAATGTCACGTATATAAAATGCCACCAATACACGTGTTAGGCACCAATTGGTATGCACCGTCTGCTGTTGAGAACAGTTTATCTTTATTCAAGCACGGTGCACATTTTGGTCACAGTTCTAATTTACATATATACGTACTTAAATGACAAATTAACTTTAATACTTTAACAACGTCAACACTTAATAATTGCTTTGAATACAGTCACAAACAAAATTCTTTACTAAGTCTTGCACTTTTTAACATCTTTACAACACTTAAATGATATTACTTTTGAAAACATCATATTTCTCTTATTACAAATACACTTTTTATTCATAACTTTAAGAACATATTAAAGATAACACTTTAAACAACACAATACTTCTCTTTTAGACATACATTTGATATACAATAAACTTTGACATTATACATTTTGTATGTAATATTATGCTCGTGATCTTCACGACAAAGGTAGAGACAAAGAATCTATAGAAAATCCCTTACATAACACTAAGGTAGAGACTAAGAAGGAGTATATAGATAATCCCTTACACAGTTCTAAGACAGAGACTAAGATGGAGTATATAGATAATCCCTTATACGAGTATAGTATAGTACTAAGGTAGAGACTAAGAAGGACGATATAGAAAATCCCTTACATAACACTAAGTTAGAGACTAAGAAGGAGTATATAGATAATCCCTTATATAGTACTAAGGTAGAGACTAAGAAAGAGGATATAGATAATCCCTTACATAGTACTTAGGTAGTGACTAAGAAGGAGTAATAGATAATCCCTTACATAACACTAAGGCACAGACTAAGACAGAATATTTGTTCGAAAACACTGAATCCACTTGTTGATAAAGATGTATCATGCATTCCAAAACGTTTGACTGGGAATCATTTAATCATGCCAAAACATTATAAAATTCATGACATCGAATCTTGGAGTTTGTCCATGAATCTTATTGTAGTACAAAAATTTGTCTTTGTTATAAATGCTTGTTTTCTACAAGGGCTATATGATTGATTCTGATTGGATGTGCATGATCCGGCAGCGAGATTTCCTCCTGGAGAGTGTTGTTAAGCTGTAACCAAAGTTGTTTAAACATTTTTGTACTGCTATCTGAAGTGTGATTTTCTATGTTGTGAAGTGACAAAAACATTTTGTGTTTAAATTGCAAATGAATTAACAATTTTAGAGAGTAAGGTTTGATGTTGCTTTTGTATATCTTTACACACCCCACACGTTTGATTTAATCATTTTAGTAATGTCATTTGTTAGAAAATACATTTAAATTTTAGGTGACCATCCGAATACAGTGGGAAGACACTCCAGTGTCCATCAGGTCAAGTCTTGTTAATGCAAAAAAAGCTTGAAATACAAATGTATTATAATTTTATCTTAAAAGGAGATCATTTTAAGCAGTAAAAATTATATTGAGGAATATTCTAGCTTAACCACAGTGCAGAGGCCTTGCATGGAATGTATGTTATCCATACATAGTTCAGAAGTGTTTTAATTATGATATTTCTAGTTGAATTCTAAATAATTACATATATACATATAGCTTATTTCATTTTATTTAACCACCTCTATCATAACACTATGATATTGTACCTGCACCAGAATTTGAATCTCCACATATTAGAAATATAATAGAAAAGTAATGGATTCTACGAGTCACAGAAATCCTTGAGTAATATTGACATTAATTAATTTTACATATGTTTGACCAATTTTTATGATAAATTTTGATAAGTATATTTTTCAAATTCCATAAGGCCACATGGCCCGTGTGGATACACAATACAATATATATATATGGCAAGAAAGTGTACAAAAATAAATTTCAAACAAGTTTTAAACAACAACGGAGAAGGTTTACATTCATTTGCATGTTGAAATATCTTAGTATATTAATAATTCATTTCTAATAATATCTAAATGTTTACAAAATTATGTATGTGTTGTATTCTATAAACTACCCGTGCTCTTCCTTGTCACAAAATAACTATGAGTGTTAGATATATGAGTCCTTACATACTAGTCATATCCTGATCTTGTCAAAACGAAACACAAGACCAACATAAATTATGAGTCTTTAATATTTTAGATAGGAATTTGCATACTGTAAGTATCCTGATCTATCGAAAACCGAAACACAAGATCAACATACAGCTTGAAGAGAGATATTCTTTAAATGCTCGAAAAAAACTAATGCTGAGTTAAAAAAGAATACAACAATATTACTCTGTAATGTATAGTCGTATGAATTACATCGTGACACTAAATTATTATTCTGAAGAAGAGTCGTGGAGTAATTTTTGAAACTTTAAAATTTGCTATCATGTATATATGTAATCATATACATATACACATACATATACATACATACACATATATACATACAAAATAAATATACTATAAAAGTTACACTTATGACATCACGAAGATTGATTACGATTTGTATACAACTTCTCTCCAATTTCAAAAGCGCTATGCACATATTTACCAAACTTACGTGCTACACAAATGTTTTCCGTATTTAATAAGTCTATGAGTTTTTAACATATTTGGTCTTTTCCAATAGTAAGTAGGTATTAAACGTTTCTTATATCACTATATAATTAACATTCCAATACAAAATGAAATTCGTCCTCTAGGACGTTACAACAAAAACAAGTTCTTTCATTAAATGGTGTACTATGGGGTTTAGCCCATCTACCAGTCTCAATATGAAGCCTATGAGATGATACTCTTAATTTAGTTACACTACTACAGAATCTTTTCACATGAAAAAAATTAAGGTATGGTTGAAATTTAAAGTCGGATATTTGTTTATAAAACAGAAGCTCTACTCGAGTTATCTAATCTACACGACCAATTCTGTACGAATTTGATCTGTTAATCTTTGTTTTACAATACATAAAAAGTAATCAGAGTTTCCTACACTTTGCATTAACCAAGCATCAAATAAAAACCTAAATCACACAGAAGATGTTTTACAAGTGAACACCAGTTTGTTTTGTTGGAAAATTTTCAAAATCGTTTTTTTCAGTAATGTATAAACTTTCTTCACATATTTATTTCATTTGTATGCAATATCTTTAACCAAAATTTTACAATATTGTAATAACGTACTGATTTAATGATATTCTTACCTAGTTCACCATATACAAAATCGTTTTGAGTAACTTTTTTGACACCAAAAAAATCCGTTTTACAAAATTGCATATGTACTCGTTCTACACTATTACCTTGAATAAACCCCCAAACCTCGCTACCATAATTTAAAATAGGCATTACAAGTTATCAAATAGTTCTAATTCTATGGGAAAGTAAAATGTTAACAAATTTACATAATACTTATCCATTTAAAAATTGCTTTCATTGCTTGTCCAACAATGGTGTGCTGTGCTTCTGTGAATGAACCACCCGTTGTGAATACTAAACCTAAATAAGTGAACTTATTAACAATAGTAATTATTTTATAATAAAAAAACTAAATTATCTGCAATCTACCGCCTCTTTAAATATCATTAATTTTCGTTTTAACTGTATTTACTGTAAGTTTCCACCTATCACAATAATCAGCCAGGCAATTTAAACCTTTTGTAATCATCACTACTATTAGCAAAATAACAATGTCGTCCGCATATAAAATTAAAAACATTTTAAACATATTAACATCTATTCCTTCCAAGTCATTATGAAAGAAACAATCTTCTAAATCGTTTAAAAACATAGAAAAAAGAAAGGAGACAAACACTCTCCTTGGCGTACGCCTAGTGAACATTCATAGCTATTACTTAACTTATTACAATATTAATTCTTGATTTGACTGAGTCGTACATTGATTTCATTATATTTAAAATATTACCACGAATTCCAAATTTAATCAGTTAAAACCATAAGTTATCCCTTACAACATAATCAAAAGCTTGGTGAAATCAATAAATGCACAAAAAGTTGCCTCCCCTGATTAATCAAATGTGTAATTAAGCCATGCAATACAAAAAACGTTGTCAAACGGTTCCCATATTTGAACCTAAATCCAGCCTGTGCCTCTACATAAACACGTATATAACTCTGCCTTTTAGATAATCTGTTATTCAATATACGAGTAATAGTTTCCCTAATGTGTTAAGTTATGTGATACCCTATATTTATTAAAAACATCGTTTATACTACCTTTTTTATGTAGAGGAATTACAAAACCTTCGACCAACTATCTGGGAAGTACCCGTGTTCAAAAATTTTATTAAATAAACATGTTAAGGGTGAAACAAGTATATTTTTTACCATGAATAAAAAAATCATTTAAAAGAAAATCCGGACCACCACTTTTACCCGATTTAAAGCTGGTGTATAGCCTTAATAATATCATCTTCAGTAAATTTAACATTAACTCATCAAACAAAACGCTAAATTCATTTTTCTCATATCTATCAATAAAATACAAAATATCATCATCAGGCGTATAAAAATTGAGCTTTGTGGGTTGTTTACAGATTAAAGTATTTTCAAAGCATCCAATTGCACATTTGAGTGTTTAATACCTGCATTCTTTTTCAACATATTCCAATACAATTTTGCATTTTTATACCTGGCCTTTGTTAATTTCATTGT